AATACTATTATCCATATGTTGTAAAGCGCTTTGGAGTAATTTTACAAATTATATAGGGCGCTATATAAATGTTGTATATTATCATTAGTATTAAAAAATCGATTGCAGATCAAAACTACTTGATTTCGTTAGTTTAATATTAAAATGTAGAATTTATCTTAACTAAAGGACCACTAGAAAGAAGATTTTTTGTAATTTATTAGTAATTAAATATTTTACTTTCAATTTCATTATAAGAGTTATACATGTATACAAATACATTTCACAAATCATAGGTGTTTCATAGCATGTTAGTATCGGAATTCTTCCAATGAAGGCATTGAGGCATGACGGTGCTTACTTGTCGTTGATCTAATACATTACTCTATTTGACCGAAATTGTGTATTCTAATGATGAACTTGGAGGCAATGCTAAGCGATATGTTACTAAAGCTATCACTCAAAACTTGTCAGCTTGATTCGTTCAGGTAACATAGCAGATACACATAAATTCAGAACAACATTACTTTCGATAGGACGAGCATTGTTATCAGTTAGTCGTATTCACTGCACGATTCAGAATTTTACCTGCAGCATTCATCTATTATTCAAACATTTCTTTAAACACGATAAAAGCTAACAAGCCACGCACTTTTTTACCCATCTTTTTAATATTCATCGAATTTAACATCGTGTGATTTCCTATTTGCATTTAAAGACAGAGGTGACACCGGTAAGACTCCCTTAAGCTGCAACATTAGTACAAGACATGTCTTGGAATAAATTTGTAGAGAACTGTCAAAAGTAGTCATATTAAATGGACATTGTTTAAGAGTTTTGTAATTCAAAACATGGCTCCCTACATTTGAGCGATCATGAACATACAACATGTTAAAGAACATCTGTACATATATAGTCTATTAAGCACATACATACTACAGTTACACAGCATTTAGCACTGTAATGATATTAGTTAACTTGGATTTTCTATTTTAAAATGTAATTGCTATGAGCAGTTGTATCTGCTCTGATATCAGACTAAGAGTATCTACTATTGAAGACTTATAACCTCCGTCGTTGTTTTAGATATAAATCTATATTTTTTACCGGAGTTTGATACGCCTAGTTTGCCTTCCCGTTTTAGCTGTGTACAGTGTAATTCGTTTTGTTTTGATGTCATTTCAGATTCAATTGTAGTTTTTCTTGTTGTTTTATTGTCGCCGAAGTTTCTGATGCTGTCATTTCTGTTGTTGTTGTGTGTCCATAGTTCCAGTTGTTGTATTCCCTTTGTGTTTGAGTCTCTTCAGTTCATATTACCGAACATATTAAAACAATATTACCGGTATGTCAATAAAATATCGTAAGTTTAACCAAAGGTCTGCTAAGGCAAAGTTTTAACAAAGTAACTATTGACATGGAACTCATTGAAAAAGTACTAAGGGACAGGTCCTGGTGCTCCGGAAGGGTAAGCGTCTTCTGTTTCATCGACGACGTCCACCGTGTACCACCAGGTCTTATATCAGTAATACCACATTCTCAAAGTTAGGCAGTGACAACGAATCATCAAGACACTTGAAGAGCATAATGGAAATTTCCAACCTCATACCACACGAAAATATAGAATATTTACCCATAATATCATAATGACTCTTATAAAACTTATCCCCAGTTTTTATCAAACTGAAACATTCCAAACATTGTGTGGTAAATGTGTCCATTAGAATCCATACATATTACAGTACTGCTGATATACAGAGCAGGCAATCAAATGGTATCCATCTCTCTATAAATCAGTAAACATTCAGCATTCTTCAAACTGTAATTTTGTTTTCATCGCTAGACTAAACATATTTGAAATTCAGTCCCTATAAAATGTAATTTGTATTCATCAGTTTATGAAATAGATATTGGTATTCATCAATTTATGAAATAGATATTGGTATTCGTCAATTTATGAATTTGTCAGTGCTAATCATCACTTCATAAAATAGTAATTGGTAGTCAACACTTTGTGTTACAGTAATTGGTAGTCAACACTTTGTGTTATAGTAATTGGTAGTCAACATTTTGTGTTATAGTAATTGGTAGTCAACACTTTGTGTTATAGTAATTGGTAGTAGTCAACACTTTGTGTTATAGTAATTGGTATTCCTCAACTTATGAAAGTGTTAAACCGGGCATTGTTACGCCGATGATAGTAAATGGCCACTTTTTGTATTTGTACCACAATATGTTTTTCTAGATTGATACAATTATATTAAACATGAAATTTACACGAATACCACGATATCAAAAATCAGGGACAAAGAAGGAATACAAAATATCGAAAAATAAACTGCTGCAGACTGGAATTGACGTGATATTTTAACAAAACGAAATTCCTCACCACCCGATGTCCCTTCTAACGGGAAACACGAGGCGAAATAGCAACCCTGCGCCCCTTTTGATGGGGAACGCGAAGCGTACAGCAATCCGAACCCCCTTCGAACAGGAAGAAACGAGCAGAATCAGCAACCCAATACCCCTTCCGACAGGAAAACACGAGGCGAAACAGAAATCTGATACCCGATCCGACAGGAAAACACGAGGCGAAACAGCAACCCGACATCCTTTCTAACAGGAAAAAACGAACAAAATAAGCAACCAAACACCCCTTTCGACGAGAAAAATATGAAGCAAAACAGCAACCCGATAATCCTTCCGACAGGAAAACATGAGGCAAAACAGCAACCCGACAATCCTTCCGACAGGAAAACATGAGGCGAAACAGCTACCTGACACCCCTTCCGACAGGAAAACACGAGGCGAAACAGCAACCTGACACCCAATCCGACGGAAAAACCTGAGGCGAAATAACAACCTGATAATCCTTCCGACAGGAAAACACGAGGCGAAACAGCTACCCAACACCACTTGCAATGGGAAATCACGAGGCGAAACGGCAATCTGACAACCCTTCCGACAGGAAACACGAGGTAAAACAGCAACCTGACACCCAATCCGACCGGAAAACATGAGGCGAAATAGCAACCTGATACTCCTTCCGACAGGAAAACACAAGGCGAAACAGCTACCAAACACCACTTGCGACGGGAAAACACGAGGAGAAACAGCAACCCGACGTCCTTTCTAACACGAAAACGAACAAAATCAGCAACCAAACACCCCTTTCGACGAGAAAAAAAGAGGCAAAACAGCAACCCGATAATCCTTCCGACAGGAAAACATGAGGCGAAAAAGCAACCTGACAACCCTCCGGATGGGAAAACACGAGGCGAAACAGCAACCCAACACCACTTGCGACGGGAAAACACGAGGCGAGACAGCTATCTGACACCCCTTCCGATAGGTAAACACGAGGCGAAATAGCTACCTGACACCCAATCCGACAGGAAAACATGAGGCGAAATAGCAACCTGATACTCCTTCGGACAGGAAAACACGAGGCGAAACAGCTACCCAACACCACTTGCAACGGGAAAACACGAGGCGAAACGGCAATCTGACAACCCTTCCGACAGGAAAAACGAGGTAAAACAGCAACCTGACACCCAATCCGACGGGAAAACATGAGGCGAAATAGCAACCTGATACTCCTTCCGACAGGAAAACACAAGGCGAAACATCTACCAAACACCACTTGCGACGGGAAAACACGAGGAGAAACAGCAACCCGACGTCCTTTCTAACACGAAAACGAACAAAATCAGCAACCAAACACCACTTTCGACGAGAAAAATATGAAGCAAAACAGCAACCCGATAATCCGTCCGACAGGAAAACATGAGGCGAAAAAGCAACTTGACAACCCTTCGGATGGGAAAACACGAGGCGAAACTGCAACCTGACACCCCTTCTGAAAGGAAAACACAAGGCGAAACAGCAACCTGACAACCCTTCGGAACGGAAAACACGAGGTGAAACAGCAACCTGACAACCCTTCGGATGGGAAAACACGCGGCGAAACAGCAACCTGACAACCCTTCGGATGGGAAAACACGAGGCGAAACAGCAACCTGACAACCCTTCCGACGGGAAAACACGAGGCGAAACAGCAACCTGACACCCCTTCTGATGAGAAAACACGAGGCGAAACAGCAACCTGACAACCCTTCGGATGAGAAAACACGAGGCGAAACAGCAACATGACAACCCATCGGATGGGAAAACACGAGGCGAAACAGCAACCCGATAATTCTTCCGACAGGAAAACATGAGGCAAAATAGCAACCCGACACCCCTTCCGACGGGAAAACACGAGGCAAAACAGCAACCTGACACCTCTTCCGATGAGAAAGAAATGAGACAAAACAGCAACCCGGTAATCCTTCCGACGGGAAAACATGAGGCGAAACAGCAACCTGAAACCCCTTCCGTCGGAAAAACACGAGGCGAAATAACAACCCTGCAACTTCTGATGGGAAAACACGAAGCGTACAGCAAAACCCTGAACCCCTTCTGATGGGAAAATACGACGCGTACAGCAAGCCTGTACCCCTTCTGATGGGGAAAACATGGAGCGTACAGCAGCCCTGCAGCCCTTCTGATGGGAAAACACGAAGCGTAGGGCAAGCCTGTACCCCTTCTGACGGGAAAACATGAAGCGTACAGCAACCCTGCACCCCTTCTGATGGAAAAACACGAAGGGTACAGCAGCCCTGCACTCCTTCTGATGGGAAAACACGAAGCATACAGCAGCCCTGCACCCCATCTGATGGGAAAACAAGAGGCGAAACAGCAACATAACACCCTTTCTAAACACGAAGCGAAACAGAGTTCCCCGGAAGGGAAAGCATTTCCTGCACCGCAAATTTAACGATGTCCTTGTCAAATGCTCTGCAAACATTCCGGTTTTTTTAACTATCATGATGCTGATTTATATCCTTACCTATTTTTTTATATTAAGTATACAGCCCCGATTCAAACAGGTAGAACCTGGTTGGTATCGTCCCTGCGATAAGACTGACCAATCAGCGATCAGAAGTGTGTCAGTCTGTCCGATAGTAAGTTTAAATTCAACACCCGAATTGAAATATTGCCAGTCTGTGTATCGATCGGGATAGACACCACGACATGACGAACCAAAAGGTAGGTTATTATCTTTTGCTCATTATTTATATACATAACCTGTGTATTGTTTAATGGTCAATACTTCTTAATTGATGCATTGTTTCTGTGACACCAGTCGATGCTTTACACCTATTTTTTTAATACATATACCTTTCCGTATCACCTTGCGTGTACATGCGCCCTAATGAATTACATGCAATATTTTCTACCTACGCGCACACGTGGGAACAATGGGTCTTCTACTTAAACTTAAATTGAAATGTGGAATTAAACAATTTACCGAACCATGTTATAATGATTTGATCCGACAGTAAGAAAGTAATTGTAATAAGTAAACCTCCTGATCTCCGTCTGAATTGCACCCATACTCTAATCCTCTATCATTTATGCTGACAACCTGAACGACTGGGGCTATACGGTTGTTACATGTTTGTATTTTAAGTTGTTGTTTAGAACGACTCTACGTCCGTTGTTAATCTTCCATCCTATTAGAAACAAAATTTGAGACCGCAATCGAGCACATGTCTTAAACAAGATGTTCCTCGGGTGTTTAAGTGTGAACTTAACCGATAAAATATGAGTATCTTACCCATGATAACTATAGCGATAAAAACATAATAACCTTACGTTAAATGTTATCTAGAGTGTTATTTGTTCGAGGACAAAACTGTTGATAACACGAATGCCCGGGTTAGCTATGACACACTAGTACGCGGGAGGATATGTTGATGTCACGAATTCAGGTGTACGTTTCTGGCAAGTAATTCAGGCAGATATACAAAAAATGTTTACTCTACAAAGAATTAATAATCTTGTTCATATTTGTCTTAAACCCCAGAGACGAAAAAAGTATTAATAAGATTTTCGCTAGTGTCTGTCAATGCAACGCCTATTAAGACATCAATAACGAGAAAATCCCGACCTTTTTCTAGTCCTGAATGGAAAATTTCTAGCTAAAGAAAACTGACGGAAAATTACCCAAAGGTAATCGTGTATTCCCCACAACATCGCTATGCTATCGGGAGTGCCATACTCTAGATAAGGGGCATTAATCATACGTGGGACTCCCGGTCTATTATTACGCCTGGAATCAGCTGTGTACTCAATTGTCACTTAGTAAAACAATAAAATCTTCAGAGATAGCTGACGCTGTGCTTAACAGGTACACAAATATGTCTTCCCAATTACCCGGTCAGTAACAACCTCAATAACTCTATATTAACCAAGACTTTTGCGAAGCGCAAATTGACTCTCATGCGTCGCTCAGCTTTGGTTTTTTCACTTTTATAATAGTTGTCGTTTTTTCATACTATTTGTTGTGAAAATATTCGTGCATATGTTGTTTACACAAATTTCTTTCAATAATCAATACATGAAATATAGCTAATACCAAACTAAGTGAACTGCCCTGCAAGAGGCCAGCAAAATACATGTTTGAAAGTAGGGAAGAAAGCCTTATACAATTCCGAACAAGTAGAATAATACACGCGGTGCATCTGATTCGTCTTTTCTTTATTTGAGTTTGACTCCATCTTACTGTCGCTAGGGAAATCATTGATGCGTATCCATATACAACACATGACTTCGCCTCCGGTTTTGTTGTTAAAAAGGCTTTGAGGCAGTAGCTTTGCGTATTGATCCTATATTTCTGTTTTACAGGTTGATGAGCGTGGTGCGTGGGGGAACCAGGTGGAGTTCTTCCTCTCCTGTGTGGGCTATGCTGTCGGGCTCGGTAATATTTGGAGGTTCCCTTACCTCTGTTTCAGGAATGGAGGAGGTCAGTATATACTTCATTATTTTTTACCTGATGTTAATGAAATTAAGTGAAAGTCACTGATGAGTTTATATTTGTCGATCGAAATTCAAAAACGAGGGAAATAGATTAGTATGTCTTTGTAGTCACAATTACTGAAAATACTTTGTTTCTCGGACAAGATTGTACAAAAAAGTATTTAAAAATGTATAAAATTAATAACAAATATTTCTGTAGAAGGAATTTAGGCGCTTGTGTCCGGATTTATGAAATAGTAAACAAACAAGCATGATTTTAAAACTAAAAATTGTTATTAGTTTTGGGCGTTTCTGAATATGCATGACCCTTGATCAAGCTTTTGAGAATTTCTAAGCAAATAGAATTAGACTGAAATAAGTATGTCTCTGCGTATTTAAGTGAGGAAACCATAGAATTTAGACCACTACTCACAGGAATAGGTAAGCAAAACAGTCACATTACGCCACATGTTTCGGTAAAGACTCAAAGAACATGGGACACTTACATGTACAACACTAGGACTTTTAAACACGACAATTGTATTTGAAATAGTCTGCCTGTAAATTTCAGTAAAATGTGTCTTCAGGATTCTGTAAAATGTACTTGCATTATTCAGGTAAGGAGTAGCTGCAGTGCTCAGTAAAGTTACATATTCGCGATGAAACTTATTTAAGATGCAGTTGTGAGTATCTTATATGTTAAGCCCTTAATCTCCGTCTGCTTTTCAGGTGCCTTCCTCATACCATACGTGCTCATGCTGGCGTTAGTAGGTTTGCCTGTTTTCTTCTTGGAGCTCGCCTTTGGACAATTTGCTTCCTTAGGTCCAATTTCAATTTGGAGAGTCAATCCCCTCTTTAAAGGTTTGTTTATATCAACGCACGCCTGGTGTTTTAGTCATCACTGTAAACGAAGGTATTATTGCAATGTAGTTATAATATTCCTTTGTACATAAAAGTTATAGAATAAAGCAAGAAAATATCCAATTGGAAACAAAACCGCAGTTCGGATTCAAAATAGCTAAATCAAACTATTAATAAAGGAACACAGAGAGGGACATATACACTACTTGAATGTATACTCGGGGCTAATGTGGCCAAGTGCTTCCTATTTTAATATTCCTTAGTCTGTTCTCTATAGCGTTATTTATTCTCGGGGTTATTTTGAATTTTGAAATGCATACGTACGACCTATAGAAAACTAACGGTTTATGACTCTTTAGTGCCATGGGTGGCGCTATGTCTACTGGCGTTTGAAATGATGACAACCTTTTCCGACTGCCGCCAAAAACTTACAAATTATATCTAAGTACATTTATATTTGGAATGGCAATACCCTACTATATCCGATATATGGGAAGGTTCAGTTAAGAAAGTATAAATGCGTGTGCAACCTAATCAATATTCTTTAAAAAAAAACAGTCGGATATTACAAATATAATTTTAATATTAATGATTATCAAATGCTTTAAATCATAAAGCTTGGTCAGAAAATCGTTAAAACTGCTTTGATGATGATAATTTGTTGATTTCATGGCATGTATTATTTTTTGAAAAGATAATTAGAATCAACTAAATACATTTGGATAGTAGGTAAAGAAACATCATACTTTAAATTCCTTTTCACTTTATCAGTTGTTATACATTTGTCATTTTTGAGAGTGTCTATATCTTTATATCTCTGGTATATGTGTCTATGTCTCCCTACACAGGTATCGGGTATGCGTCCGTGTGCGTGTCCACTATGGTGGCCATCTACTATAATGTGGTCATAGCTTACGCACTGTACTACCTAATGGTGTCGCTGGTCAGTTTCGACAATAACGTACCCTGGGCTACATGTGGCAACTCATGGAATTCCGATTATTGTATCAACAATCTAACACTGATTGAGGACAGCATGAACGCTACTCAGAAACTCAACATCCAGCTAGGTAAGTCATTACTTATTCCAAGACGACTGACTGTTTCTTACGGTGTTCCGGGGAACGTGTCGCTACTTATTTTTTCGATTTTATGGAACGCTATTGATAAATGTGTTATATGGTGTTGCCATGTATTATTTGATGGAAATAGCCGGCATTGAAAATAAAGAGGCGAATCAGAAAAAACGGCTTTGTAATTGTTTGTGATGTCATCATTACAACATGAATGCACATATTCCTCCGCCATCTAAGATTTCGACACTGATTTGAAACTTGCAGCATACAATAAATTAAGATATATCTTAAATTAATGACGAAACAATTATTTTCTTGGCAAAAAAAAAAAGTGCAGGCCCATATTGTTTACATTATTCCCGGATTATTTTAAATGCCTCGTTAATCAAACTACCACAAATCCAGTAACTCATTAATCCATCCACTAATCAGGTAACTCATTAATCCAACTAATACTAATCCAGTAACTCATTAATCCAACCACTAATCGAGCGACTCATTAATCCAACCAACACTAATTCATCGAATCATTAATCCAACCAACACTAATCCAGTGGTTCATTAATCCAACCAACACTAATCCAGTAACTCATTAATCCAACTAACAGTAATCCAGTAACTCATTAATCCAACCACTAATCGAGCGACTCCTTAATCCAACCAACACTAATACAACGAATCATTAATCCAACCAACACTAATCCAGTAACTCATTAATCCAACCACTAATTCAGTGAATCATTAATCCAACTTCCACTGATCCAGCAACTCATTAATACAGCTTCCACTAACCCAATGACTCTTTAATCCAGCCACTACTAATCCAGTAACTCATTAATCCAACCACTACTAATCCAGTAACTCATTAATCCAACCACTAATCCAGCGAAGACTCATTAATCCAGCCAACACTAATCCAGTTTTTCATCATCCAACAAATGCTTACTGAACACACTGGTATTGTTATGAAAGGTGATTCAGTAATCGAGATGTCCCGCAATTCAGCCACTCTTGCATTGAATAGGTGGCTGAATTTTAAAGACTTATTATAATAGATCAAAATTACGTTGCTATCAGATCACTTTTTGCTCTTCTTAACATTTTCCCCAAACTGTTTGCACAGGACGGATGAACGTGTCTTGCGTAGAGAATACCATCACGAATTATGGACTGCCGTACGAGAACCTCACCTACAACTTCGTCAAAAAGAATCTCACGGAGTGCAGCTACGAGAGCTTATACAAAACATCAAGCGAAGAATATTTTACGTAAGTAATCAATGCGCAAAGCAAACGAGGCAGTATAAATTGGTTAGGAATTTTTAAACAACATAGATCAGACACAAACCTGCTTTTCGACTAATATAGCACCATTAATATTACAACAAGAACCAAACACTGTCATCAGCGTTGTCGTTGAATGATAAAGATGTTGTAAGCAATATGCATGCGCACACTTCTTTACAGGGATTCACACGCGCTTACACGGAATTTACAAGAAGTAAAACCCGGAGGATGGTGACGACACAGTATGGCCGGTTGGAGAAGTAGCGCCGCCGAGGAGAACATTAATGCATTTCGCCCTCTGTTTACAGTAACTTTGTATTGAGGCTGAACGAAGTTGACAACATTGGAGGTATTGGCGAAATCAGCCCCAAATTGACAGTTACTCTGCTTATAGCTTGGATATTCATTTTCTTCTCTTTGATGAAAGGCGTCAAATCTTCCGGAAAGGTTGGTGTGGTCACATTGTATTCATACGCCGACAGCTTGCACACTCCCTGTTTCGTACCATTGTCCACTGGCGATCGTGTTAGTGAAACCTCTGTTTTTCACCATATGGCACATGCATATATTTGCACGCTCAGTTTCTTTTTATCCTTTCAAACAACATCCAATCATACAGAATGCACCTGAAAACCGCCAAATCTAAGCTGGAGAACACGCAGGGGAAGTATCTAAGTGACATGTCTTACATTTCATTTTGTTGGTATTTCTACCTCTTGTCGGTCACATCCTCCCTGCAGAGCAGAATAAGAGTCATGGTTTGTTTAATGTAGCTGATATAGTGCTATTTAAAACGCCGAGCATTAACAGAGGTGACGAGGGCTAGCATCCTCTGTATCCAGTACAGATATATAATATCAAATAAGGGTTTTTTGGTAACTTTATAATTGTCATGTCTATGTGGTAATTGACATTTTTCTCTGTCGTTTTGCAGGTCATATATTTCACAGCCACCTTCCCATACTTGGTGTTGGTCATTTTGTTGGTGAGAGGCCTTACGCTCGAAGGATATAAGAAGGGGATAGAGTTTTATATTATTCCTAAATGGGAACAACTCGCCAATCCGAGGGTATGGCTTTCGTTTTAGTACCAATAGATAAGAACAAAGACAGTTACATCGTCGTAAAATACAATGTCCTTAAGTATAATCATTATTATTCCAAAAAGCCTATTGTTGAACTATACAAAAATAAAAATAAATCATCAAGTTTGAATGATGTGTAAAGAAATATTGCATTCTGTTTATATAAAGTCCATGATATTTTCTGTAGTTAAATTATACTGTATGGGAAACAAATTCTTCTGACGGTATATCTCAAAATGTAAAAATGTCGAGTATGTCAACGTTGTTCATTAAACATCTGACTGTTTTAACAACAAATCGATAAATTGCTGTTACAGCCGTGGATTGATGCCGCCAGTCAGATTTTCTACTCTTTAGGACCAGCGTTCGGAAGTCTTATAACGATGTCCAGTTATAACAAATTCAAAAATAACTGTTATAGGTAAGTGAATAAATGAGGCGAAATCTCAAGGAGACATGAATGTTGATTTAAATAATGTTCTTGTTTGAAGTTAAAGTTTCGTATAGATGGGTGTATCAATACTTTTGACATTGTTTAACGCGGATATAATACTAGGCAAACATCGGTCTAAGCAGTACGTTCAAATATTTCTCTGGACGAAGGCTTTCTGAACGTTTTTATTTTTAGTATCTGTTGAATGTAAGTCGAATGTCAATGTACGATCGGATGTAAATTGATAATTACATGTGATAGGATTCCTTAATGTAAGTTTATTAAAACGTCATTGACTTGTTATACTTTATACCGATGAGGCTTATATCTGGAGAAACGGTGTAAGGAAAGAAATAAACAATACAAAATACAGTTGTATTGTCATAATATGTTTTTATTAAGCATAGAGCAGCAAACTAAGTAACGTTTTTGGAAACTTTATTTTTCAGGGACGCCATTTTGGTCGCCACAATAAACTGTGGTACGAGTGTATTCGCAGGTTTTGTGATATTTTCCGTGCTGGGATTCATGGCTCACATTACCGGCAGAGATGTCCAGGACGTCGCCACCAGCGGTCTGTACCTTACAACCGGTTATAATTATTGTCAATAGGTCACCACCAGCGGTCTGTACCTTACAAGGGTTATAATTATTGTCAATAGGTCACCACCAGCGGTCTGTACCTTACAACGGTTATAATTATTGTCAATAGGTCACCACCACCGGTCTGTACCTTACCACGGTTATAATTATTGTCTAGGGATCACCACCACCGGTCTGTACCTTACCACGGTTATAATTATTGTCTATAGGTCCCCACCACCGGTCTGTACCTTACCACGGTTATAATTATTGTCAAGAGGTCACCACCACCGGTCTGTACCTTACAACGGTTATAATTATTGTCAATAGGTCACCACAACCGGTCTGTACTTTACAACGGTTATAATTATTGTCTATAGGTCACCACCACCGGTCTGAACCTTACAACGGTTATAATTATTGTCAATAGGTCACCACCAGCGGTCTGTAACTTACAACGGTTATAATTATTGTCAATAGGTCCCCACCCGCGGTCTGAACCTTACAACGGTTATAATTATTGTCAATAGGTCACCGCCACCGGTCTGTCCCTTACAACGGTTATAATTATTGTGTATGGGTCACCACCACCGGTATGTACCTTACCAGTGGTTATAATTATTGTCTTTGGGTCACCACCACCGGTCTGTACCTTACAACGGTTATAATTATTGTGTATGGGTCACCGCCAGCGGTCTGTACCTTACCACCGGTTATAATTATTGTGTATGGGTCACCGCCACCGGTCAGTACCTTACCACCGGTTATAATTATTGTCAATAGGTCACCGCCACCGGTCTGTACCTTACAACGGTTATAATTATTGTGTATGGGTCACCGCCACCGGTCTGTACCTTACAACGGTTATAATTATTGTGTATGGGTCACCACCACCGGTCTGTACCTTACAACGGTTATAATTATTGTGTATGGGTCACCACCACCGGTCTGTACCTTACAACGGTTATAATTATTGTGTATGGGTCACCACCACCGGTCTGTACCTTACAACGGTTATAATTATTGTGTATGGGTCACCACCAGCGGTCTGTACCTTACAACTGGTTATAATTATTGTCAATAGGTCACCACCACCGGACTGTACCTTACCACTGGTTATAATTATTGTCAATAGGTCACCACCACAGGTCTGTACCTTACAACGGTTATAATTATTGTGTATGGGTCACCACCAGCGGTCTGTACCTTACAACGGTTATAATTATTGTCAATAGGTCACCACCACCGGTCTGTACCTTACAACGGTTATAATTATTGTCAATGGGTCACCACCACCGGTCTGTACCTTACAACGGTTATAATTATTGTGTATGGGTCACCACCAGCGGTCTGTACCTTACAACGGTTATAATTATTGTCAATAGGTCACCACCACCGGTCTGTACCTTACAACTGGTTATAATTATTGTCAATAGGTCACCACCACCGGTCTGTACCTTACAACGGTTATAATTATTGTGTAAGGGTCACCACCACCGGTCTGTACTTTACCACCAGTTATAATTATTGTCAATAGGTCACCACCACCGGTCTGTACTTTACCACCAGTTATAATTATTGTCAATAGGTCACCACCACCAGTCTGTATCTTACCACCGGTTATAATTATTGTGTATGGGTCACCACCACCGGTCTGTGCCTTACCACCAGTTATAATTATTGTCAATAGGTCACCACCACCAGTCTGTATCTTACCACCGGTTATAATTATTGTGTATGGGTCACCACCACCGGTCTGTACCTTACCACCGGTTATGATTATTTGTTATGGGTCACCACCAACGGTCTGTACCTTAGGACCGGTTATAATTATTGTTTATGGGTCATCACCATCGGTCTGTACCTTAACACCGGCTATACTTGTTGTGTAAGGGTCACCACAACCGGTCTGTACCTTACCACCGGTAATAATTATTGTTTATGGGTCACCACTAACGGTCTGTACCTTAACACCAGTTATACTTGTTGTGTAAGGGTCACCACCACCGGTGTGTACCTTAACAACGGTTATGTACCTTACCAATGGTTATAATTATTGTGTATGGGGCACCACCAGCGGGCTGTACCTTACAACGGCTATAATTATTGTGTAAGGGTCACTACAACCGGTCTGTACCTTAACAACGGTTATTATTATTGTCTTTGGGTCCCCACCACCGGTATGTCTATACTTGTTGTGTAAGGGTTCACCACCACCGGTATACACCAGTTATACTTGTTGTGTATGGGTCACCACCAACGGCCTGTACCTTACCAGTCACCACCACCAGTCTGTACCTTACAACCCGATATAATTATTGTCTATGGGGCACCACCAGCGGGCTGTACCTTACCACGGGTTATGTTTATTGTCTTTGGGTAAACACCACCGGTATGTACCTTACCCGTGGTTATGATTATTATCTGTGGGTCACCGCCACCGGTATGTACCTCACCAGTGGTTATAATCATTGTCTTTGGGTCACCAGCACCGGTCTGAACCTTACCAGAGGTTATACTTATTGTCAATAGGTCACCCCCACCGGTATGTACCTACCAGTGGTTATAAGTACCTTACAACGGTTATAATTTTTGTGAATGGGTGACCGCCACCCGTCTGTACCTTACAACGGTTATAATTTTTGTGAATGGGTGACCGCCACCCGTCTGTACCTTACAATGGTTATAATTATTGTTTATGGGTCGCCACTAACGGTCTGTACCTTAAAACGGTTATAATTATCTTAACAACGGTTATTATTATTGTCTTTGGGCCACCACCACCGTTCTATACCTTACAACAGGTTATAATTATTGTCTAGGGGTCACCACCACCGGGCTGTACCTTACCACGGTTATAATTATTTTGTTTGGGTCACCACCACTGGCATGTACATTACCAGTGGTTATAAGTACCTTACAACGGTTATAATTTTTGTGAATGGGTGACCGCCACCCGTCTGTACCTTACAACGGTTATAATTTTTGTCTATGGGTCACTACCACCGGTCTGTACCCTACCAGTGGTTATGATGAATGTCGTTGGGTCACCACCACAGGTATGTACCTTAACAGAGGTTCTAATTATTGTCTATGAGTCACCACCACCGGTATGGACCTTACCATTGGTTATAATTATTGTGTTTGGGTCACCACCAACCGTCTGTACCTTAGCACCGGTTATAATTATTGCCAATAGGTCACCCCCACCGGGCTGTACCTTACAACGGGTATAATTATTGTCAATAGGTACAGACCGGTGCAGGTGACCCATACACAGGTACAGACCGTTGGTGTTGACCCATAAACAATATTTATAACCGGTCCTAAGGTACAGACCGTTAGTGGAGACCCATAAACAATAATTATAAACACTGGTAAGGTACAAACCGTTGGTGGTGACACAAAGAAAATAATTATAGCCACTGGTAAGGTACATACAGGTGGTGGTGACCCTTACACAATAATTATAACCGTATAACCGGTGGTTAAGTATAAACTGGTCGTAGAGAACCATAAAGAACAATTAAAACCGGCGATTAGGTATAAACTGGTCGTAGAGAACCATATAGAACAATTATAACCGGTGGTAAGGTAAATACCGGTGGTGGTGCCCTATTGACAATAATTGTAACCGGTGGTAAGGAGACCGGTGGTGGTGCCCTATTGACAATAATGATAACCACTGGTAAGCTACAGACCGTTGGTGTTGACCCATAAACAATATTTATAACCGGTCCTAAGGTACAGACCGTTAGTGGAGACCCATAAACAATAATAATAACCGTTGTTAAGGCACAGACCGGTTGTGGAGACCCTTACACAACAATTATAACCGGTGGTTAGGTATAAACCGGGCGTAGAGAACCATAAAGAAAAATTATAACCGGTGGTTAGGTATAAACTGGTCGTAAAGAACCATAAAGAACAATTACAACCGGTGGTTAGGTATAAACCGGTCGTAGAGAACCATATAGAACAATTATAACCGGTGGTTAAGTATAAACTGGTCGTAGAGAACCATATAGAACAATTATAACCGGTGGTTAGGTATAAACCGGGCGTAGAGAACCATAAAGAAAAATTATAACCGGTGGTAAGATACAGACTGGTGGTGGTGACTGGTAAGGTACAGGCCGGTGGTGGTGGCCCATAGCAAATAATTATAACAGTTGTAAAGGTACAGACCGTCGGTGGTGACCCATACACAATAATCATAACCCCTGGTAAGGTACATACAGGTGGTGGTGACCCAGAGACAATAATTATAAACACTGGTAAGGTACATTCCGGTGGTGGTGACCCATAGGCAATAGTCATAACCACTGGTAGGGTACAGACCGGTGCAGGTGACCCATACACAACTGGTAAGGTACATTCCGGTGGTGGTGACCCTTACACAATAATTATAGCCGTTGTAAGGTACAACGGTTATAATTTTTGTCTTTGGGTCACAACCACCGGTATGTACCTTAACACCTAATTATTGTCTTTGGGCCACCACCAACGGTCTGTACCTTAAAACGGTTATAATTATTCACCACCACCGGTCTCCTTACCACCGGTTACAATTATTGTCAATAGGGCACCACCACCGGTATGTACCTCACCAGTGGTTATAATCATTGTCTTTGGGTCACAACCACCGGTATGTACCTACCAGTGGTTATAAGTACCTTACAACGGTTATAATTTTTGTCTATGGGTCACCCCCAGCGGTCTGTACCTCACCACTGGTTATAATTATTGTTGATGGGTCATCACCATCGGTCTGTACCTTACAAGTGGTTATGATTATTGTCTTTTACCTTACAACGGTTATAATTTTTGTCTATGGGCTACCACCACCGGTCTGTGCCTTACCAGTGGTTATGATTATTATCTTTGGGTCACCGCCACCGGTCTGTACCTTACCACGGTTATAATTATTGTCAATAGGTCACCACCACCGGTCTGTACCTTACAACGGTTATAATTATTGTGTATGGGTCACCTGCACCGGTCTGTACCTTACAACGGTTATAATTATTGTGTATGGGTCACCGCCACCGGTCTGTACCTTACCACGGTTATAATTATTCACCACCACCGGTATGTACCTTACCAGGGGTTATGATTATTGTCTTTGGGTCACCACCAACGGTCTGTACCTTAGCACCGGTTATAATTATTGTTTATGGGTCACCACCACCGGTCTGTACCCTACCAGTGGTTATAATTATTTTCTTTGAGTCACCACCAACGGTCTGTACCTGTGTATGGGTCACCGCCACCGGTCTGTACCTTACAACGGTTATAATTATTGTGTAAGGGTCACCACCACCGGTCTGTACACTAACACGGTTATAATTATTGTGTAAGGGTCCCCACCGCCGGTCTGTACATTAACGCCGGTTATAATTGTTGTGTAAGGGTCACCACCGCCGGTATGTACCTTAACACCGATTATAATTATTGTCTATGAGTCACCACCACCGGTCTGTACCTTAAGACCGGTTACAATTGTTATGTAAGGGTCACCACCACCGGTCTGTACATTAACACCGGTTATAATTGTTGTGTAAGGGTCAAAACCACCGATCTGTACCTTAACACCGGTTATATTTTTTGTGTAATGGTCACCACCACCGGTCTGTACCTTACAACGGTTATATTTATTGTGTATGGGTCACCACCACCGGTCTGTACCGTACCACCGGTTATAATTGTTGTGTAAGGGTCACCACCGCCGGTATGTACCTTAACACCGATTATAATTATTGTCTATGAGTCACCACCACCGGTCTGTACCTTAAGACCGGTTACAATTGTTATGTAAGGGTCACCACCACCGGTCTGTACCTTACTACCAGTTATAATTATTGTCAATAGGTCACCACCACCGATCTGTACCTTACAATGGTTATAATTATTGTGTATGGGTCACCGCCACCGGTCTGTAACTTACAACGGTTATAATTATTGTGTATGGGTCAACACCACCGGTCTGTACCTTAACAACGGTTATGATTATTGTTTATGGGTCACCACCACCGGTCTGTACCTTACTACCAGTTATAATTATTGTCAATAGGTCACCACAACCGGTCTGTACCTTACCACCGGTTATAGTTATCGTCTTTGGGTCCCCACCACCGGTCTGTACCTTACCAGTGGTTATAATTATTGTCTTTAGGTCAACACCACCGGTCTGTACCTTAACAACGGTTATAATTATTGTCTATGGGTCCCCACCACCGGTCTGTACCTTACCAGTGGTTATAAATATTGTCTATGGGTCACCACCACCGGTCTGTACCTTACCACCGGTTATAATTGTTGTGTAAGGGTCACCACCGCCGGTATGTACCTTAACACCGATTATAATTATTGTCTATGAGTCACCACCACCGGTCTGTACCTTAAGACCGGTTACAATTGTTATGTAAGGGTCACCACCACCGGTCTGTACACTAACACGGTTATAATTATTGTGTAAGGGTCACCACCACCGGTCTGTACATTAACACCGGTTATAATTGTTGTGTAAGGGTCAAAACCACCGATCTGTACCTTAACACCGGTTATATTTTTTGTGTAATGGTCACCACCACCGGTCTGTACCTTACCACCGGTGATATATTTTTTGTAATGCTCACCACCACCGGTCTGTACCTTAACACGGGTTATAATTGTTGTGTATGGGTCACCATCGACGGTCTGTACCTTTACACCTGTTATAATTATTGTTTATGGTTTTCTATGACCGGTTTATACCTTAGCATCAGTTTTAATAACTGTTTATGGTTCTCTATAACCAGTTTGTACTTACCACCGGTTATAATTATTGTGTATGGCTCTTTAGGACGAGTTTGTACATAACCACCGGTTTATAATTATTGTTTATGGTTCTTTACGACCAGTTTATACTTAACCACCGGTTATAATTGTTCTTTATGGTTCTCTACGACCGGTTTATACCTAACCACCGGTTGTAATTGTTCTTTATGGTTCTCTACGACCAGTTTATACCTAACCACCGGTTATAATTGTTCTTTATGGTTCTCTACGATCGGTTTATACCTAACCACCGGTTATAATTGTTCTATATGGTTCTCTACGACCGGTTTATACCTAACCACCGGTTATAATTGTTCTTTATGGTTCTCTACGATCGGTTTGTACCTTACCACCGGTTATAATAATTATTCGCAGGTTAGCACATACTCTTTTAATTATATTTTAACAGAACATAAAACTCAGGTGACGCTTTAAATATGTTGCTCTGATCAGCATATCGTAATGAGTATCTTATACATAATATATGTATACATTAATTAAATGTTTACGAATGCAGTGGAAAGACGTTTTGACAAAATGTGCTGGTAGTTGACCATGCGCTGCTATATTTCTCAAGGCCCTAGGTGGAAAGCAATGTGTAACATGACCAAATATTTGCACCGGGGGACATTTATTTTCAAGTATATTCAATGCTATCTCTACGGTCCCTGTATGGGCTTTTCTTTGACTGCTGCTTTCAACGACTTTGTGATTCCGTTTCCCCTTCAGGTCCAGGTCTTGTTTTCATCGCCTATCCCGAAGGCATTGCCAGAATGCCGTTCCCCCCTATTTGGGCGTTTTTGTTTTTCTTCATGTTGCTGTTACTCGGAATGTCTAGCCAGGTAATCCATTTATTTATCTTACAAAATGAAATCTATTTGCTTATCTTCAATCTTTGACAACTTATGAAGTTTATTTAGCTTTAAGTATTAGTCAGGGCGCCTTTCTGAATAAATTATTACTTGTGTCGTTTACATCAGACAGCTGGTTGTACATTTTTCAAATTTAATTTGATCTTTAAATAAATGAAAATGCCACTCATACTGTGACAGAAAAATACGGAAATGTCGGCAAAACCAGAAATCAAAATGGATCAAACTAAGTAAAAAAATATATATGGAAAGAAGAACGCAATAAAAACATTCAAGGAAAATAAGACCATGTGTTCTGAAAGGGTAAGCGTCTGTTGGAATTCATCACTTGACTTTGCTTATATTGTTTCTGTGAGTATTTGCTAAGTTGAATTTTACTTTATAAAACTAATTATAACACTTGTTCTATATCAAATAACATTATATGTACCAGTGAATTTATTTGGAATGTTTCTTCTACAGTTTGGTATGGTGGAAGGAGTTATAAGCGCTCTCTCAGATGAATTTCCTGGTGTGCTACGCAGATATAAAACGTACTGGGTGTTTTTTGTGTGCATGACACTTTTTTTACTGGGACTAACTAACGTCACTCAGGTAGGTTCTTCGGTATGTGTGTGTGCGTTATGAGCTTTATGTCAGGATCTGCAAACGTTACTCAATTAGGTTCATAGTTTTGTGTGTCTGTATTACGAGGAACTCTCTAACAGTACCCGGATATGTAATGGTGTTGTTTGTATGTGGCAATTGTATTGGGACTTACTAAAATCACTTAGGTAAAAGTGCTATAGATCACTGATAGTTTTGCACAGACAATTTTAACGCATACATGATTCTCATTCCTAGCTCAATCACTCAGAGCAATGACAATCATTAATGTTTGTAAACTGTCCATGACCAACGTCTCTTAAAGATTGCTGCTTAACAGGTTTGTGTTTATAGTCATTGTTATTTATATCATATAGTTTGAAAATATCGTTTGTTTCCCTTCAGATTTAAGCAACTTTTAGCGTCTGTAGTGTCTGGTATGATATCGTCAATGTTACTCTGTAAACCACCATTGCTATACACACTCTCACCATAAATTGATGTGTATGGCAGAGTTAATTATGTTATGTTTTTGATAGCGAGGTGTCACTTTATATGTACAGGGTTAATCATGTTTGTATCATCACTCTGTGTAGGGTGGTATATGGGTACTAACATTGATGAATGACTACTCTGGATCATACGGGATACTGTTCATTGCCTTTTGTGAGCTGGTCGCCCTTATGTGGTCCTATGGTAAGTTGATGCCACTGGCTGGGCAATCTCACTCGGTCAATGACAATTGTTGTAGCAGTTCAGAACCAAATGAAATAATAATAATATAATCAAGCGCATAGTATTCGCCTAAGCTTGTTATCTATTATTATGTTTTGGTCTTGTAATGTTTTCCTACCTGTTATAACTCAAATCATCAACTATTTCCAATAGCTAGCACAGTGATAGAAAAAAATACACAATTTGTCTAGTAACGCATAAGGATGCAGGGAAATTATTCTCAATTTAACAGCAACTAATACTTCAACTTAATGTGAATTACCTCCCTTCGTTTGATACTTTCTGTTGTGATAAATGATTTTTTTTCCAAATGTCATTATTTTTTCTGCAAAGATGAAATGTAAGCAATTGACGTTATATTTGTTTTGATGTTTTGCTTTATGCCTCACGAGTTAATATTTGTATTTAGGCTTGACTAATTTCTGTGATGATGTTGAAATGATGCTCGGATTCCGACCAAACATCTTTTGGAAAGCTACCTGGACCGTCATATCACCCCTCATTGTTCTTGTATGTATATAGCTTCAAATACTACCGATTTATTGGAACTATGATATAAGTATTACAAAATAAAATTTCTGAAGTTTACATATAATGAACAATATTAAAAGAATATATATAATTAAATGAATAAAACAGATAACAACAATATAGTTCTATAAACAATATATATTGTCACAATGTAACAGTACGTTCTATAATGCTTCTACTAAAATTGATTACTTTGAATGATAAGCAAGTAAAGGGTGTATTCTTTATTAAGTTATAAAGTGCTTGAAAAAAGATATCCATTGCATCATTATTTATTTATGAATGTGTACAACTATTGAAATTTCATTAATAAGCAAGTAACTGTTGTATTCATCGGCAAATAAATACACTTATATCACAGTGCCATATGGTTATACATATCTTTAGGTTGATTAAATCATGCATTGGTCTCTTTTTCTAGGCGATCATGGTGGCATCAGTGGTAAAATTCGTGCCTTCAGCATATGGTGATTATGTGTTCGAGGACTGGGCACAAGGTGTCGGCTGGGTCCTGGTGGCTATTCCGGTATTGTGTATCATCGTGGTTGCCATAATTCAGCTTGTAAGATATGGGGTAGGTACTTCCGAATAAGGAAACATTTATACATTAAATAGTTGTTTAAGTATCGTAAATATCGATAGATAATGTTTTTAAAAGTTATGTTTGATTTACGTGATTACCACGTTGATTTCTGTTGCTTTAAGAATATTGTTAAGAACATTATGCAATTAAAAATTGTTTTGGTTGAGCTATTTAATTAAGCAGTTTTCACTCTATCTCCGATCGTAGTTTCAATCATTTGACGGCAAATATTCTTTGCAAATGCCACATGGTTTCGAGAAAAACACAATGTTTCGCCTCTGGGTTTCTATGGGTGTAAAGTTTGTCTTTCCGTGGGTTTTTTCCACTCCCTATGTTTTGTGGTATCAAGTCTAAGTTAATGCTCTGGTGTAATGTCGTATGTATTTTCTTTGTTCGACGCCATTGTGATAACTGTATTATTTGTATTGATTTGTGGAACAAATACGTTCAAGGGACAGTGTCATGAAATACGTTCAAAACGAGACCCGATAGTTCATCATGACAATGATTAGCTATCTACATTTCAATGTTGTAGGGGTTTAAAGCAGCAACGACACCTTTAGATTCATGGGGGCCGGCAGAGGAGGAAAACAGGACTGGCCGATACTCCAGTGCGTTTAAACGAGCTAATAGGGACTTTCACGTAGCCGATAATAACGGATACGTGTCAGAAGAGCATTTGCCAGAGGAGAAGAACGGTCACCCTCCAGTGGAAATGACTGAGATCACAATGGACGAAAAAATGTAAAATATGTAATGAAGGAACATCGACAGTCAAGTTATCTTCATTTACCCATCCAGGCACAAACAGAGGGTATAACACACATTAATAAAGACAGTCACAATAGATTACTCAAACTAACCAGTACAACGCGTAAAACTACCCACAAGTCCATGAATATCAAGTTACCATCACAGCCGGGTAAACCATTTGCACAACAACTACAACCACAAAATAATATCAACAGTTACCATCACAGCCGGGTAAACCATTGACACAACAACTGCAACCACAATATAATATCAACAGTTACCATCACAGCCGGGTAAACCATTTACACAACAACTACAACCACAATATAATATCAACCGTCAACATCACAGCCGGGTAAACCATTTACACAACAACAACAACCACAATATAACATCAACAGTTACAATTACCACAACCACAGTATAGACAGGTACCCACTTAACGGGGTACCACCTGCACAGCACGACCATCTAAAAAAAAGACTACGAGTTTATGAACATGATATTGTTGATATATATACATGGACTCGAAGGTGAAACGAGCGACGGAAGTAATGAATGTAGTAAAAACAAAGACTGCATTTCACTGGCGAGTGGACAAAGTGATGACCACTTATTTGTGATAAACTTTTCATGGATCACATTACCAGAGTGAAAAATATGATGCCATAGATAAAATGTGCTTGTTGGTTTATCTTTGCAGAAGTGAGACCTTCATTATTCATCCGCATTTAGACCTTGTAAATGAACAGTAGCATATTTAACGGTTAATTTGAATTACAGAAGTGTTGGTATTGGCGTTCTAACGATATAGCTGATGTGCCTAACCTTACGTAAATCATTTTTGTGTGACTTTTTCGATGATAGCTCAAGAATTGTGATGGCACGCTTAAACTGTTTTCACGAACAAGAACTGCGACAGTGAATTTGTTGCAATAAGATGGTGTTTGCTATTTTACGTAAAGCATTTGATTCCGTATTTAAATTGTTCAATTTATATAGAACATTGCTTTACTTTAAAATGTCTTTTTATCTGATATTAATTAATATAAATGTGCAATTAAAAGGCATTAACTTTGTGAACATGGTACTTATTGTACTTATTGTAAATAGTCCACTTGCTTTTTTCACTTTTCCATTCTATAAATATGTATTTTTTTATTCTAAAACATTTTCACTATTTAAAGTAGAATAAGGATTCTCTCCCACTGCACTGTTGTTTTTTTCGCATGTACACTTACCTCCCCTTAATTTCGTTTTAGATATAACTGTAGCATAGTTGGGTGAGGACACTTCTTTGTCTAGGTGGCTCAGTCGGTAAGATAAATAACAATCGGAGGTCGACGGGTCTAGCTCCTTGGAATGTTGTTGATTATATTCTGTGCATTTTATATTTATCATTTTGCATAAAAGTCCATAGGGTATGGTTTTCTTTTCAGTAGTGGTGTATCTAAGCTCTAGTCTTGCTATGGATAGAAACAGTTTCCGATGCGTATTTATACTTTGTTGCAGCGTAACGGGGAACCTTAATATATAATATATCACTATGAGTTTTATAAAAAAAATGTTGTTTATTTATAAATATTTATGGGTGGATATATGGGTTTGTAAATAAGCAAATCGATTCATTCTTAGTATATCAATGCAATTTATGTACCCACTTTCACCCATTTCTTACTTGTTTCCGGCAAAAAAGACGTATAAAATAATACAGGTAAACCTACAAACTTATTTCATAATATCAAGGAATAGAAAAAGCGTTCCAATGTAGTTTTACTGCATTAGCAACGCATCTAAAAATAAACTATTCATTGAATGATTTTTGACAATTGTGTTTTCAATTCTCAGCATTGACAAATTGACTAGACACATTGCAAATGTACGGTAAAACAATGTAGAAAATGATTTTGAGCGTGAATAATATTATTGCTGATAATGGGAGGACTATTACAACACTGGTCTTAGTAAGATACACGTCGTCTTCTTTTTCCAACTATGTTATAGAAAACTTGTCAGGTATGATGTTCTGAAAACAATTTTTTTGATAAAAAAAAATCCCGTAAAGTTTGGTATGATAATTAATTTATCCAGATAACGATACCAGGTATTCACCTTTAACGTGAATATACTAGCTGGTATAGTTATCAATATAAAAAGTGCACTAACGTCAGTATATATGACAAAGAATTAAAAACAACTAAATTTGATAAAACACAATTTTATTATCAACTGTCAGTCTTATCTATATATATATATTAACATAAAGTAAAAACATGTATTAAACGTGACAAACACTTCTCTTACTTGTCATTATGAACTTTACATAGATAAAACTGTTTAATGTATCGTGTCTAACGATGAAAATGAAATGATAATTGATAATGAAACGTGAATGCTGACAAGATATATTTAAAAAAATCACATTGTCACAAGAATGAGTGAGTCATCTATAACGTATGATAACCATATCTTTACAAGTCATTATCACGTCGTCCCGAGAACGGTTGCGTTATTTACAACGTATATTAACCAATTTGGAATCCTTTAAATCCCTTTCTCATCGATCGTTTGACAAGATTCTATGTTTTTATGAATAATATGAAATGTTTGTAATACTAAGAATATAAATCTTATGACATGACGTGAAATCTATTGCAAATGTTTTTCTTTTTATAGACGAACATGTTTACAAAATGTATGTATGTACAAACTAATTACAATCGCCTTTGATGTATTGTGTGAATTGCTATTTGACATGTTTATATAGGACGCTGCAGAGCAGTTGATAGATGTACGTATTGAGATTTCCCTAAACCTAAATCAAAATAGGGAAAGTATTATAAAACTAATATACCACTGCGTCAAATATATCAACATGGGTAGAAGGTAAACAAAAATGGCACTTTTTTGTGTCACAAAACGTTTTCCACTTCTTCGGTTTGGTATTGCGTCACTACGACATCGTGCAAAGTTTTCATCAAATGCCTGTAACAAAAATTACGGCATTGCTTCAAAACTCCATTCACCTTTCACATATATTGATTGTTCACTACGAAATATTACAATCGATGCATGACTTTGACAAAATGTATCATCAACCTTCACAATCATAAATCTAATATAATATTATCATACGTTAGTGGTGTGAAAAATGTTTGCAGAAACACGAACAAATCCACAAGCTATATGTATAAATTATATTTGTATTTTAGATAAATGTTTGGGAACCAATACTAACGCGGAAAATTTCCACATACCCGATCATTATGAAGAGTCCGACGAAAATATTTCACACGCGAGAATATCCATACACTTTTACGGTATGACTTAGAACGTAGATTATTATGAGAACAACAAATTATCGTGTAAGTGCATGCAGTGGCTCTATTCATTATGTTAATCATGAGCCAGAATTGTTGTTTCTTTATATTTCGATTACATTATCGTTGGTTTGAAAAGCGCACCTGATTTTCACCTATGGCGAGCCTTTCCGTTTACAGAAACAGTTTTTACAGACATCACAGACACCAGACTCAGCCAGAACTTGAGACGCATAGAATGTGGTCGATTGTTTACCTAGGGAAATACAATGATAAGTAAAGTGAAATATTTGTACAAAATAGTTTTAAAACAAATTTCTTCATTGGTACACACGTAACATATTTATCGAACGTTCAATAACAAAAGGTATACGCTAACAATGGAGCAAAACGAGTTACACTTCTTAACTCGCGTTTTAACATACATATATATATATATATATATATATCGATATAAGTATCGAAGTACTAGAAATGCGAGATAAGGATACACCTTGTTAACAACTTGTTATTTTTTCGATACAGAAAGACAAAAATTAAATGTTACTGCATCATTTGCCCTTTTTTTCTATATTAGTGTTCCGAATCATATGTAATACAGATAAAATCAAATTTCCTATAAGTGTATATTACAATCTTCTTTGCTTTTTATAACTGTATAACGATATAAATTTAAATATTCAATTATCACTCGTTTTACGATAATCATATACCAATAAAGTTTCACCTTTTTTTCACTTGTGTCATCTTCTTATATCGAAACAAGTCTGCGTGCAACTGTTCTTTACACTTGTCATAACAATAACATATCGAACTAACACTATATAACACCGTTCCCACTTGTATATGTGATATAGATATACATTGTATCTATTATTACGCTGTATTTTCCCATGTTTTAATACTTTTAGTAATCACCTACCGTTATAAGTCTATACGCAACCTTACTTACTCGTGTCATAATTATCAAGTATCAATATAAGTCTTTTTTAAACTGTACTTACTCGTGTCATAGTAATCATATATCCTTATAGGAGCAGGTTTCTGTTCAGCCACCATATCAACCCTCATCATGTATATACTGACACACTGGGGCTCTGCGTCGAACTGAAAATACACATAAGAACATTCTGTAGTTACAGACAGTTGGTTTCTATAAGGTTTCAGACATGTGGTTTCCATTATTATAACAAAAACGTATTAACAGATAAAATACTTTATATCTTAATTTAGAGATTTTCTTCAGTTAAATGAAGTTGTGCGCAGAACCTCATCTTTTGATGACAAGTATTTAAGAAATTTCAATATCAGTTCCCATGTTTGGCACACCAAAAACAATCAAACAGCTAATAATCTGTCATAATAATATTGCCACAATATGGTCTAGTGAAAATACTTTTTGCATAAAAAAATCTGTTGAACTATATCCAGTATCCAATGTTTGTCTCTTAACGATTTGATGCCATTGTTTGATAAACGACAAAAAAAGTGTTCCATTCCATCAAATCAAGAAAAAACATTATTATTTTGGGGTTACCAGGTGCAGTTTGCATACATCCTTCCAATTAATCTCATTCGGGTGGCTTTCTGAAGGGCAGCTGTATATTGCTGTCTCGGTTGGACGCCCATGTGCACGCATTTGAAAGAGCATTGGTAAACACATACAAAATACATACTATTGTTCACTTTATACATTTTGGTATCTTGGGGCAGTCCTGATCACATACCGACAATGGAATAATAATGGATGGCATACCTGATCAAAATAAAGAACCAGTCCTCTAGCAGCTTGTTCCAGACGTTTGTAGTCTGGAGCCCTGTCTGTATTTAATGAGTCCACATCTGGCGCCATACCGCTGGGGTACCCGATCTCTATTATAGACATTCCGCTTGCACCCTTCCTCATCCAACTGTGTAAGGAAAAGATGATTGATAATTATATATTTTGATGAAACTTAAAGCGATACATTTTATAGTTCCACACAAGAAATATGCAAAACTTTAAGATAACTATTTTGACAAAGCAAAGCAAAATGTTGTCGAGAATGAAAATTGACTGTAAGAAAATTATCACAATAAAACATAAATAACAAATTACTTTTTTGTATATATTTTAAAAGATATAGCACAAAGATCATCAAGAAACATTTAGCAGATGAAATTCACTGATGATAAGTTTCCTACATAGAACTGAATATCAAATAAATTTTTCAGGAACAAATATTACGTTTTGATCAGGTATACACATTTGCAATTCATTTACAAGACGTAACATTTGAAGTACTCACCGTCCACAGACTTGAATAAGGAACCCTGTCATACTCTCCTCCTTCAACGTCACGTTTACGTCAAACGATTTTACTTTCAAATCATCCATTACATTGAAGTATGTGGCAACCTAAATATACAAAATATCAGTTTACCTCGTTATTTAACAGTCAATATGCATAGATAGAAGAATATAATTATTTGTAAACATTCTAATAAATTTGTCAGAGTGAAACGTCGGGAAATATTTTAAACAACATTTCTTAAGGGTAGTGTTAATAATTAGTATTCTATTAGATAAACAAGTGTTGGAAAAGTACAATTTAATACGTTTACAGTATGATGCTAGTTTTAGTTGGGAACTGATCATTCTAAGATAATGATTGCCTCTCTGTCACACACGCTGCTTCTGTTTTCGGTCCTATGATTCTCCTTACTTTTATCTTTATGAGTACCAACTGTTTGCAAAGGTTAGCGTCATAAATCTCACCTCCACGACTCCCATTCCAAATCCTTCTGCTACAATTTCCACCAATCGGATATTTTCTGGGATCTGATGATGATAGTAATTTAATATGTATTACACTTAACATTGAAATTACATACAAGATTCCAGCTTAATTGATTACATATCTGTAATATCACTTTACGTACACAAATCGATTTTGAAATTTATTATTTCTGTTACGTCTGTTTCCGTTGTTGAGAAAAGATAACCGCCCACATACAATTAAAAACAACTAACTAAACAATGGGGCGCCGAATTGATGGAGTCGGTTGCCATTTTATCCGATAAACAATAACAATGTGAATATGTAACAAATACTATTTATGATTGTATCAGAACTAATTTATACTGTATTGAACATTGTTTTATTAAGTATATCAAATCCTATCACATGTTGACATTTAATGATGTGTTTATTATCACCTAACTAGTTAATCATATCAACGTTTTCTTATGAGTTCTGTTTGAAGAAAAATATGCTAAGTTCTATTACAATCAATATCTTAATGAAAAAAATGGCAAATGCAAGAAACCCACTTACGTCAACAGTTTGAAACATGAGAGCGTTGTTTTGCGACACCTGGAACTCGTGTATTAAATCGAGATTTTCTGAATTTCTTAATTGGACTCTCATGTTAAAGTTGGGTTTGTATATTAAGGCCGCAAGGTCGGCTAGGGCCTGTAGCGCTATGATGGTGTCCTGTAATCATAATAAAACAACATGTAATCTAAACGAAACAGCTTTGATATTACATTATGTCCTGACAGTACTCTCGTTAGCATTTGAGTGGTCATAATAGATACATTCACATGACTACGTCAATTGATAAAAGTAACATTAGTGTTTGCTATATATAAAAAAAAATCTGCCGATAATGCCTGGGAGAATAAACGAAAAAGCGTGTTCATACTAAACATGTTAACATGAAGTTTGTTTAACGTGACCTACCTGTGTTGACGAAAATCCGCCATCAGAATTTCTCTGAGCTGACAGCCATTTCAATATTAGTATTGCGCTATCTGTATCGGCAGCTTTGGTGTACACCATCATGATATAGGATGTCAATTCTATGTCGACTCCATTGGATTGGATGTGTGGTGGACGCCAACCACCGTATACAAGTTGTGGCTCTTCTTCAGGTCTTGTCCAATGCATTGTTCCCTCTGAACCAATGAGAAGGAGGAGTATATATTAATACCAGTTGTACCTCATATAGGTTTTTTGCGAAATGACGTACCATTGCCTATATAAAGGTATACGTCAGTGGCATTGTTAAAAGGTTATGCCACTGCGTTAACATCAAGTGATAAAATCGAAATTAATAGTGGACTCGGAGTTCTTATCATAAGATTCAAACTAAACGTCAAACTCATAATAGTGTCCATGGATTCCTATAAAACTGGGAAGAATCGGAGAGAACAGACTTGATGTATTTACATTATGCAATGGTAGGAAGACCAAATGTTTACACCTGAGCAGAATCATTATTTTTCTTCTCTGTTCTCTGCTTAAAAGACCTTTAAAATAATTTTGCTTCTTCCTTTACAACAGTTGGGATCTTTACCTGACCGTCCTCCCTTTTTCTGCAATTTAGCATCTTTGATGTACCCCTTTGTTCTCCCATCGTTTAATAATTATCTCACTCTCGCATGTATAACCTTATGGTGAAGGGCCGTACAGTTCAAATGATATTCTCATAAAAAGACAGCATGTTGTTGGGACATGCAAGGTTGATGTAACATATATATATGATATCGAATCCATGTTTGACGTTCAGTATCTAAATTACACTGAAAGCAAATTTGATGCATTCTATCATTAAAGAAATGTATTATTTGTAATGAAGTGCCCTTTACTTGATTTTGTCAAAATGGAAACGCAAATGAACCAATCTCTATCGATAATGATTTAACGCATTTCAGTTAAACAAACAACAGATTTAGCTCAAACTTTTCATAAGAAGATTCTATTTCTACAAAGTGAATACTATTAATTAGTAACGCCGTTGTATCATAGAGTTCCTTACCCTCCTGTACAGCGTTCATCACTATTGGTACCATGATCTTTTCCGCCTTAGCACTGCCTGCTAATGACAGTGCGTGTCCAATGATAGCCATCTCATACACATCTACTTTTAGCGGTGTTAAAGCCATGGCATCAACCTCGTCTTCCAGGAAACGCTGTGCCAGAGCTCTAGACTTGGCTGTGGTTTCGTTGACCTGTTTGTTACAATAAGGATACATATATAATCATATCAATTAAGTTGTATATATTTACATTTGTAATGGACGCTACGAGTACGTCATCATATGTCAAATAATAAAAATATAGATAATCATAAATGGATGTTGTTTACGATAAAATGATAAATCGATTTTCTTGTTCTTTATTTTAATAGTCACTAAAACATACGGATTGATTTGCTTACGAATTCTTAACCTGTTTCTTTTAAACTTATCGCAATAAGTACGGTTAAAGTCTGAAGCCCAGTCACTACATAAGCTTATTTTTAACTATCACTTTTTTATGAAAGCAAGGAGCGAAACTACACATATATTAGTTATACGCTTGATTCATTCAGTATGCGTGTAACTTTAATGTGATACAAACCTCCTTTACAAAATATTTCCACAACGCAATAACACATGTAAATATCTAAAGTCAGCGTTAGTTTGGTCTTTTAACAATACTCACCCCAGGGAAAACACCGGCTTCGGTCATCGCAATAAGCACGAAGGCCGTCAGCGAGGATTCACCACTGGCAGACCCACCCTGAAATAAAAATCAAACAACCGCTGCGTTTATTCCATTGATTAATTTACAAATAAATGAGTAACTTTATGAGTTGATTTAATGTTTTCATTTAAACAACCTAAGTTCGTAACAACACAGTGACTACAGATAGTAAGGTCCTCGAGAATAATTTTAAAATGTAGTCTCACATAAGTCAGTAGAAAACAGCAGGTCTGTTATTTTACTATGCCCCGAGTCTCCTAGGTTGTACGTTCGGCTTTTTAATAGAGTTATTATTCTAGGAACATCGATTTTCAACGTATAAATACATTATAAACATCGATCTGACATCAGTCATCGATATTACCTGTGATAAACTAATCAATAATATCCTTGAAGTATTGTGATAAGTTGTATTCGTAACATAAGTGTTCCAAACCTCTATGAAAAACGCTTTTAAAATGCTCTAGACCAGACGACCAACCTAGACAACTCACTGGACATGACGTCCGACTCGGACCGTCAAACTCACTAGACATAATAACAGACTTACACTATGAACCTCACTAAATGACGACCGAGGTAGACCGTCAACCTCACTAGAATTGGGCTGTCAACCTTTCAGGCAACAGCTTCGTCAGACGCCCTTTTCTTTACTACCGACACTGGCTTCCAAACTTTCAAGACATAGCAGCCTACCTTACTGTAATAAATCCACACTAACCGAGTCTGTATAACCCGAAAACACCAGTAAAGAAGACTAAATAGCGTTGTGATATGTGATTGGAAGGGTGTCACGTGGTTATAAGAAGGTCTGTGGTACCCACCTGCATTGCCTTATGGAGTACTTTTCCCGGCTCATTAAATGTCCCGTTTGGATTCTGTTGGTCGACTAACCATCCAACAGCCTTCACTACAGCCTCGTTATCTATTGTGATCATATCTGACGCCTCGGCGAACGATTTCACTACGAAAGCTGTCAACCTGTCAATGAAGAGTGACCCATGATACGTTACAAATTAGCAAACATCCGGGCCCCTTTAAGCTCAAGCGATTGCACTTTCAGTCCGTTACATACATATTACAGAACGGTTTCCCTCAGAGCCAGCAGTGTAAAACTTGTTAAACACGTACCAAACATAATAATATTAAGAACACGTACCAAGTAGTCCCGGATTTGTCACTTTCACCAAAAGCACTAAATGACCCATCTTTGTGCTGATATGTCATTTCTCTCTGGTAACCTTAAAAAGGATGTGAATATGTGAAATAATAAAAGAAATTTGAAACAAATCAGGAAATTTAATTATCACATTCATTAGATGTAATTATGGTACCAAATATGTATTTTTTATTAAAAATTTGTCCAAAGCGTGAAGTTAATTGTTTATATTTATTATTGAAAAGAAAGTTGGAAAGTCTGTGTGGAGATATTGGTACCTGTTGTTCACTGATTGAGTTCGTCTCACTACAGATATACATCGTCGATAATTAACATATAATGCTTGTAAATTACCTTTATCAAATACTCATTAAAACGAAAGCAATACATACCTTTAACCATGTACTTCTTTGATTTAGCGTCTATAGCCGGCGTCAGCTTGTTAGTGATAGTTAAGTAACGTCGAATATAAATGTTAGGAGCAAAATTCAACATGTTCTGCTCGCCGCATCCGTAAGGCATCTTAAGGAGTTTCTCAATACCATTGATAGAAGGTCCCATGACATCACCTGATAATGTTATATTATTGATAAACAGTGGATGTTGTGATTTGTGTTATCATAGACAACACTGACGGGAGTACAATGTGTAGATATTACCATTTATTTTTACATTTTACATTTTAAATGGTTTTATTAAAATGTCGTCAATAGATCCATCTATATTATCATTTCATTTAATTGCTCTGTTACTAAATATGTTGTTTATTCGTTATTTAGATATCATCCAATTTGACAGCACACAATCTAAGCAAAATTTACACATACCACTTACCAAATTCGGCTTATTTCAACAGAATGTAAAGGTGAAAATATGTGCACACTATAGTAGTTGATCTTTTAAAAAAGATATTCTCACTAACCGAGAAGAGTCATCGATGATTTATCGATTATAATGATCATAATAATGATCATATAACTATAATGTAATGAGCGATTAAATTCAACAACTATTTACCGATATCGGTAATAATCACTCAACGATAATAATCGACGATGATTTGCGATGATAATGAACAGTACAGATGTCCTACCGATAACAGCAGCCCTCACACGCCTGGAACCGTCTACAGCATTGGGTGGGAAGTCTATAGGGAATCTCGTCTTAAAGGTGCTAGAGGTGGAGAGGTCAATAAGTACAGGATTGTTATTCTCCTCGGGGGTTCCTTCAGGCTGTAACGCAAAGTGAGCGGATGATGTTTACATTCGGATATGAATATTGCGATAGTTATATTTCGATTTTCAGTATTATTATTATTATATACATAGTATTCATTATTACCTAAGTGACCACAGTATATATATTTACATGTATGTTCACAATTCTAATGCGAGATGAATAACCTCTCTGACCAGTCACACCTGTGGTGAAGTGTAACCGATTACACCACTAATAAAGTGTAATAAAACTGTTTATTATACCTCTACTTTATTTACTCTATACAAAAGTAATTGGTTAAATAGAATATATCCCCATTTTTGCCAGACTGTTTTTTAGTCCTGTGTGTTAGTCTGGGAACTAAAACACACCAACACTCGGGTGTTTCCGCCGGGCCAATCAGGCGAGAGATGGGCGGAGCTTGCTTCCGAACTCAGAAGCGACGCTCGAGGTGGGCGGAGTTTGCTACCGAACTCGGAAGCATTTGGCTCCATTGCCATCAAAGGGGTAGTTGGGACGTGAAGCTATACAGCATGGTTTACAAATATTTTCTAGTCAAAACCATCTCTGCAGTGTGTATCGGTATAATAAAACGGTTAAAGAATGGGGGTGAGGGATATAGCAGGTTTCTGGTGTCCCTTGACCATGCATATTTCCCTCGGCTCCGCCTCGGTAAATATACCTGGTCTCAGTGCTATATCCCTCAACCCCATACTGTAACTGTATAATATTTTGCATCTGTTCTCTATTTGGTTACTCATGATTTTAAGCCTAACATTCATTGGATAAAAACATGATAGCTGATTGTTAAACCAATAACTTCTTACCTCTACTCGTAATGTCCTCTCGACTGAATCAGAGAATTTCGTTCCAAAAGCATTGATTTTGATTTTAAGCTCTCCAACTTTCCTTGGAATGATTGGGAAGAACGCAGAAGCAACCTTTCCACTTTCAACCTGTTAGAAACGTTGATGATAAATACGAAATGTAGTTACATATTAGACAGGGGAACTAAGGTTTGATGTAAAAAAGAAAAAAACAATATTAATTTTGCACAGATGATGCTGATAAACCAAAATACGGATTCAGCCACCAGCCTTAACATACATTGTGCTTTATATATGAACTTTGCAATCACACAAATATTTAAAATATGGTAAAATACACAGTGAGCCAAAAATGAATAACACTGCATCATACAATTCTTACGTTCCTTTAGGACTCATCGCTGATGCTAGAGCCACAAAGTTGGAAATCAAAATACTAATGTTGAAACAGAGGTACAGGTGGTGCGTAAAACTCTTTAATTATGAATTTAAAAAAATAGACTATTGTTGTTTATTTCTAAATTAGATAATCTGTACAGTTTGTATATTATGAATCTTGCCGCTACTCCAAATAGATAACTGGTCATCAAAGTTACAGCAAACCTCAGAATTAATAATCCACCGGAAGAGTCTGCCATTTTGTACCTTGACAGATAATCGTAACACACACACACACACACACACACACGCACACACACACACACATGTGTCTGACCTTTTTACCTTGGCAATAGATACATTAACCCAAATATAAATTGCACTGCATCATACAGCTGTTATAATCAAAGGAATATTGTTTCGTGTCATGATTATCCAGTTACATGAAAAGAAAACAAACAAAATAAAATATTACCCATAATCAATATAGAGAGAAACTACTTGCATATTTGAAGTTAGTTCCTAAAAGTGTTGCTTTATTATATAAAGTGTGCTGGTGTGAGTTGGCTTTGTTTAGAAAAATGATATATGCTGATTTAATTAATATGCTATTGTAATATAACGCATGTTGGTATAAGCTCGAACTACTTTGATTTATTATGTAGGGTGTTGTAACCTGGCATTATTTTGTTAGACTAAACTCACCCACATCCACCTCCCGACCCTAGTGGAGTAATCTGTCCAGCCGCCCTGGGTAGAAATCACATTGTTTATATCGGGGTTGTTTTCCATGACGACCAGGGTCTGAAAAAGATTTTAACAAAAACAATAAGAACTGTACGATAAGACCACAATATGGCATTGTTTTCGTCCGAAATAAGAGGACTTCAGATTACCCAAGCACAAATAACAACGAACCATTCAGCAGAAAAAGAGTTTGAACAATTGACTTATATTTGATGTAAACTATGCTATACCAATATAATTTTATCAGTGTCAAGTCGTGCACCATTTCAAATAGTCATGTAGCAGTACAAAGTCAATAAACAATGACCTACTAGTAATGTACGTCAATGACTTACCCAGGCTGGTCTTTGGTAGTTAAACACGTCAACCTGCAGGACAAGTAGCTCCCCTCTAACAACCGAATAGGGAAGATTCATCCGGATAAAGAACGGCAGGAACACTTCCAGCTGAGAGGGAAAGCACCATGACAATGCAACACAAATTAAGCTATTTCAATAGCTGTTGATGAACAAAACAAACAAACTTCGATTGAAGTGTTGCACAGACGCAAGTACAATAGACTGTGTTAGATTTACTATTAAGACTTAAGTAAATTGAATTGTGTACGACAGACAATCAAGACGGTTTTAAGTTGTAATCAAAGTTGTTTTTTAAATGGGAATAAAATAATGATAATTTCAGTTGACAATTAACCCAACTGTATTAAACATATGTTTAGGTTAGAGAAGAGTTATTTTAAAAGTACAAAAAATTGGCCATCAATATATACATAAACAATTGCGTCACAAAATAAGGACGAAATATTAACTAAAAGAAGAAATCCCTACTGCAAGAATATAGTCTAAAGAATGGGTGTTTAGTGTGACACAACAAACTGAACCTACGTTGGACGGACTTGGTGATAACCCAAGACCAGTATCTTTGTTGACGGCGAAGGCGGTTGCCACCCAGGACGTGATGGTGTCGGGAACAGTCGCAGTAAGTTCTGTCTGGCCTGTTTGTCTATCAACACACATAATCATATAATGTAATGATGAACATCAATTTATCTTTTGTTTCAATATAGCGTTCCTTGTTTAATTCTATAAGTGAATGTATTATCATCTAATTAGCATCGTTTCGAGAACGGTTAACCATTTCATACTAACTTTACATACACATATCTTTCCGTGTCCGGTATATGATTTTAATTGTATCATTTATTGTAGGATGTCAGTAGATGTATATCTACCGTTCGTCAGACTTGTTGCCTCTACCTTCACCTGTTTAGTTGTTATTCTTGAATTATTCCATTTAAATGGTTTCCTCGGATAAACAATTAAATACATCGAAGTGTTCAAATAAAAACCGACTAGGGAAATATTAAAAGTTTACCAGAACGAAGAAAATGTCGATATCTGTTAATATTGGATTGAAAGGACATGCAGTTCTTCCTATATCACTGCAATAACTTACCCAGATGTGGATCATAGCGCATGGCAAAATGAATTAAATCGATTATGTGGTTCATCATAAATTCAACATGTATAATCACAACGACTTTGTTGTGGTTTATCATCCATAACTCCAATGACTTACCCAGCTGAAACACTTTCCCATATCCATGTTTCTGGGAACTTTGTCCTAACCCTTTTCACTTTAGCTAATTGTTTTGGCCTAGCTGCTTTAGAAGAGACGGCAGTGGTTCTCATCATCATCCTTCTGCCACCACCCGCTAGCATATTCATCATAGGAACAGGTCTACCAGCGTCAAACATTACTTCCCTGTGGTCCCCTAAAGCATTAAATTACGATTTCAATGAAAAATTACATACCCCAATTGAACGTTTTCCCAAAGCCATGTTTCTGGAAACTTCCTGCGAACACGCGCCGGTTTTGCCAGTTTCGATTCTTTCGGCTTGACCGCGGAATTCCTCACAGCTGGTGCCATTTGAGGTTCCATATCTACAGGCGAGTCCATCACTGCCATAGCTCCAAACGCCATCATAGGCATGTTATCATACGCTCCATCCCCTTTTAGAAAGCATTAAAACTTGCGTAGAACAAAGCATGTGCAAGTATGCATGCTAGGAATGTCTATAGGGAACTTCTAGAAATGTCTATTTAACATTTATTTGTTGAAAGTCCAATCAATAATTAAATGATTCATTGTGATATTAAATTGCCGGGAAGGAAACGTAAGTCAATACTGGTGCAACACAGACACAGTACATCATCCGCGTACAATGAGCCAACAAACCATGGAACTATAGTTAAGAAAAGCAGTGACAACACACCAAAAAAAGGCAAACAATCAAAAGCGAGACAATTGGAACCAACTAGACTGGAAACGAAAAGCCGACAAGTGTTCAGCTATTAGTGATTGTGCAACAGCACTGCCAGCACTGCCAGGAAATCTATTCAAGCAGTTATTGCGGATAACGAATATTGGATTTGTACTTATATATGTCAACGCTCAGCGCTACATCCAATGAAGCACAAATAATAATCCATAACCAACATGTAATAGACATACACTCCGCATACTCATTTCTGATTCGATTAATAAACGCGAAACACGACATAATTTGATTGATATGTTATCACGTCTCGTCACACAAGGGGCTGAAACTCTGCTTGTGCATTGTTAAAGCATGGAAGCATGCGTGGAAGGGAAAACATATAAATAACGAACAACTCGTAAACAAACATATACTGCCGACAACATAAATTGCAACGTCAATGACGAAGTGGTGTCTACGAAGACGAACAAATGCATATATACACATGGCTTCGGTTCACGTGCGGATCACGTGCAGCATTTACGTTTTCTTCCTTTTCGCGATAAATGTATTAAAGGGGTTAGCCATATAAATTCCCAGACGCACAGCTTTGGTATGTAACAACAAAGTATATAGTGTTGTTTTTATCTTCAAAATAAGTCAATAATGAGCGGTGATCATTGATCAAAATTGTTTCATAGATTTGTATAATCACAATTTTCTGGTGAATCATTTAATCACACATTGATAAGGTTTCTTGGAATATAAATCGGTTAATTTTGTATTCAGGGGCTTCATTATTCATTTCTCTACAGTGAAGATTCGATCAGTTATTTTTAAATATTTTCATTTTATATTTCCTGATAAGTGAAGAATCTGTAAGTTACGTTTAAATACATAAGTTTTAATTTTCTTGGGTGCGTCCGTTGGTCACTTATGCTTACATTGGTTTGGTTTCTTGTAGAGTAAAGCATCAGTCAGCACCTTGATTCCATTGTTCTGAAAGAAAGAAAAAACACGAAATTATAAAAGCAGACTTGTATAGAGATTATTTGTGTCGATTTATCATAATAAGAGGAAAGTAAATCAAACCCTCCACTTGATTATGCTATGATTCTTCTTTTCGCGACCGTTATGATACGGTGCCTCCAGTAGAATATAAAAATAAGATCAGCTACAAACACAACGTTATGGCAAAGTTTGGGTATAAACACCTTTGCTTAACTATTTAGGATTTTACGGCATGACTAGTGGGGTCAAGCAGACATAACACTAAACTAAAGATATGGTAACCTTTGCCTGTTCAATGTCTGATCGTAACGTACCAAGAGGTAAATCATTCTAGGTTTGATTCTAAACTGTAGTGGTCATGCCTTGTTTTCTGTTCAACTAATGAAATCATTTGAACAACCGTTCGATATTCTTACTTCGAAGACATCAGACGCATCTTGTCCACCACTGGAGACAGGCCATCTCCACATCCCGAACCAGGGAAAGCTACCCCCTCCTGCGTTATCGTACGACTGCAGTTCCTCAGTGACCTATAGAAATAGTTAACAGGCAGGTCACAAAAAAATGTTGGTTTAAATGTGATTCACGAAAAGTTCTACACCGAGTTACAAACTGTTGGGTTCTATGTGCTTGTCAGTAGACAACAACTCAGGAACAAACTTGAATTGGTTAAATCTGAGACTTTAACGTTATAGAAGCCGATCTGGTTATTATAACTTTACCTCATCCTCTGAGATATCATTGCCAGATTTTAACAGCAGTACACTTTTGTCCACAGCTAATATGTACACTTGGGAGTTAGGCGTGGCTTCGAGGTCCACACGAACAGATTCCTTCGGTTTTGCTGAATTTCTATCGAAGTTGATGGCTACCTGCAAATAAGGCATTACATGTAATATTTAATAGAATAGATGTCGACGTAATTTATCAAAGGTTTAAAATCAGGTTTCATTTTATAGCATACTTACTGGATTTTTAAAGACACCATCTACTTTAAATGTGATTCCGTCAGCGACAATTTCTCCGTCATCTCTAACGTATTGTACTATCATCCTTGCTTTTGGCGCCATATCAGCTGTGATCACCAAGGGGAATACCCCTTCAGTCTGTTGTCGCATGTCGAAAGTACCGGCTTCCAATACCATGCCTTTAGACAATATCTGAGATAGGAAATTAACGAAATTATTACCAATGAAAGTTACCACGCTAAAAACTTATGACAGGAAAAACGTGAGTGTCGTTCATTTGCTCATCTTGATAGATCAATTATTTTATGCTGTAGAAATGTTTAAAGTTTGCAGGAATCATTGCAGAAACGGAATATTTTGAATGTATTGAAATGTTTTTAACCCGTAATAGCAAGTTTATACTTCCTAAATATATTATGAAATGTAATGCAGTGCAATGCACAACATAACTACGACATCTATAAAACCAATAGAGCAGAAATCTTACCTGATATCGGACTTCTGGGACATTTTCTGTAGCTTTCATTTCAAACATCGCATTCGTTCCTGGCTGCAAATAGATATCTAGTTACAGAGATCGACTGGCGTTGGTTACATCATTATGGGAGTTCTATAGCACGTTTATACCACGTTTGAATAGCACATACTTTGATGAGGTTAAACAATAATATTGGTAAATTTCTAAATATATACATTTTTTATTATACTTTTTCGAAAATATACGACTCAAAACATTAAATTTTACTATTGTGCTTAAAAACTCACCTTCAGTTTCTCTGTTAGCAGGCTGACTTGTACATAACTCTTAGACGGTGACTCACTTAGGCTTAGGTCTTTATAATCTTTTTCCTCTTTGTACTCAGCCTATAGAAATAGACCACGTAAACATCTGACATTCAACAATTAATGTAGCAAATATTCAGATAGTCAGATCAAGCGGCTTCATTACCCTCAGTTGTTCAATTCTGTTATAGCGTTTAGACATACATGCACGATTAATCTCCAATCAGTGGAATTCTTATTGATATTTTCTTTTAATGAAATCAAAAGATGTAAGTTTTAGGAAATTTCATTTAATATATCATTTAAATTATGAAGCTAAATGCATTGACAATGTTCAATAAAACATAGAAGCTTAAGCTATAATTCAAAAAATAATAAAGCATCCTTACATTTTTATTTAAATATCAATTTATGATAACGACCCTATCGTTTTTTGTAAGAAGATTGACACTACATACAGAAGTACACAAATACGAACATAATATGATTTGGACTTAAGAAGTAAAAAAAAAAACATGGCGTATCCAATAGATTTTCTATTATACTGACCAGTCTGTTCTAATATATATATATACACTACCTATGATATTGGCTGGTTTGTCCTGTTAATATATATCTACTATGGTACTGGCCGGTTTGTTATATTTTTACATTGTATATATATATATATATATACACTACCTATGATATTGGCTGGTTTGTCCAGTTTATATATATCTACTATGGTACACTGGCCGGTTTCTATATATACAATCTACATATACTTACTATGATACTGGCCGGTTTCTATATATACAATCTACATATACTTACTATGATACTGGCCGGGTTCTATATATACAATGTACATATACTTACTATGACACTGGCCGGGTTCTATACATACAATGTACATATACTTACTATGACACTGTCCGGTTTCTATGTATACAATGTACATATACTTACTATGATACTGGCCGGGTTCTATATATACAATGTACATATACTTACTATGACACTGGCCGGTTTCTATATATACAATGTACAAATACTTACTATGACACTGACAGGTTTGTTATATATACAATGTACAAATACTTACTATGACACTGGCCGAGTTCTATATATACAATGTACATATACTTACTATGACACTGGCCGGTTTGTTATATATACAATGTACAAATACTTACTATGACACTGGCCGGTTTCTATATATACAATGTATATATACGTACTATGACACTGGCCGGTTTCTATATATACAATGTCCATATACTTCCTATGACACTGGCCGGTTTCTATATATACAATGAACATATACTTACTATGACACTGGCCGGTTTCTATATATACAATGTACATATACTTACTATGACACTGGCCGGTTTCTATCTTTACAATGTACATATACTTACTATGACACTGGCCGGTTTCTATATATACAATCTACATATACTTACTATGATACTGGCCGGTTTCTATATATACAATCTACATATACTTACTATGATACTGGCCGGTTTCTATATATACAATCTACATATACTTACTATGATACTGGCCGGGTTCTATATATACAATGTACATATACTTACTATGACACTGGCCGGTTTCTATATATACAATGTACATATACTTACTATGATACTGGCGGATGTGGCGTTTTCAGGTACCATGATATCAAAGTGAATGAGTCCATCAGCAGGAACGTCGAAGTAACGCGGCTCTTCATGAACCGTCTTAAACCGCGGATAAATATGACGTTCGAAGGGTGGCCATACTTCCATAATCCGGGGTACAAGGGTATCATTCATAAGTTCCAGTCCCGAGGGAAAGGTAGAGTTCAACGAGTCTGTGCCGTTTATGTCTATGTCAATGGGAAGTGTAGGTGGTGGCGGGGGTGGCGGGGTTGGAGTAGTCGTCGGAGCGGGCGTAGTCGTTTCCGTCGGAAGCGGTAATTGGTAGTTGACTGATACATTAACACGTGCTAATGTATTAGGAATAGGGCTGTCGTCTTTCTGTGTTACTCGTACCTATTATAGAAAACAATGACATGAAATTTCAGATATAGAAATTTTAAAAACATACTTGAAAATGATATATATATATAAAAGTACATAGCGTCATAAATCAGGTGAAACAAAATGACAGAACAAACAGAAATGTATATGTATACATTATGAATACAAATATGAATTCAATGAAACAGATTTTAGCTGAAATCTTTACTCACAATTGCCGTGTACTTCAGTCCTGGTTTGAATGTACTGGGCAGAGATTCAGCAAACTTGATTTTGTCTGGACTATTGTAAAACATGATTTCCTCGCTGTCATTCATCCTTAAGCCAGTAATACCCTCAGTAACATTAGCCTGCACGACAAACTCTGTCCACGCCAAACTCGAATCGATCTTACGGATATCATTCAGAGATATTTTCGTTTCGTAATCGCCATTTATCTGAAATACAATTTTGAAAATATTTTATCACTATTCATTCTTTTATATCCGAATTCTAACACAAAAATACCAAAATAGGTCTCAAGTCAAATATAAAATGTTACTGGGGCGGCGTCACTTTTTATAACATTTACTGCAGTAACAAGTAATCATCAGAGGTTGATATCTGCATGATCAATAGTATGTCATACATGATCAATAGTATGGCATACCTGATTAATGGTATGGCATACCTGATCAATAGTATGGCACACATGATCAATAGTATGGCATACAAGATCAATAGTATGGCATACCTGATCAATAGTATGGCACACATGATCAATAGTATGGCATACCTGATTAATGGTATGGCATACCTGATCAATAGTATGGCATACAAGATCAATAGTATGGCATACAAGATCAATAGTATGGCACACATGATCAATAGTATGGCATACAAGATCAATAGTATGGCATACATGATCAATATTTTGACTTACAATGTTTTAGTTGAAATAGGTGGCGGGAACCTTCAACGGGAGGGTTGCCTTTGTATCCCAATCGGCACTTACTGTAAACCAGTTTTGTCAATATGAGTTTAATGTCCATTCCTTTAAACTTTACATATACAAATATGTGTAAGGAAAGGGAAGAAGATGGTTATTCTAGTTTCTCCTTGATACTCTAGAATTTGAGATTTTAATCCACATACTCTATTACATACAATTTCTTCCCCACTCATCACGTTAACATGTCGACTTGAATTGATTCCTGATTGAAACCCTGCTCTAAGCTTCTTGATATTACGCCCTGGACAGGATCAAATCTTCACTGCCGACATATCACCGTCCCCGTCACACCCTGAACTAAATCTAAGGATTTTCGATGTCTACACTTGTAATGAAGGGGAAATGGTTGCTCTTTCATAATAAGGATGTTTTTGACTCACACAAAATAATATCACAGTGTCGACACACGAGGACAGCTGATTTTAAAACAAATGAGACGAAAATACTAGAAACAAAGAAGATACCAAAGGCAATGGTAAGACATCCTTATGTGGTCGAAAAATATGTGTTCCTGAAAAATGAAATATTTCCGGCCCATATTTGTCAAGTATTTTTTTATTATGATGCAGGTAGAGAGGAGGTCTGTGATGTCGAAGTTTTCCAATACGGATTGCCTAACCTTGAAATGACGGTCAATGTCGGATTTTTCCTGTACGGATTGCCTAACCTTGAAATGACGGTCAATGTCGGAGTTTCCCTGTACGGATTGACTTACCTTGAAATGACGTTCAACACTTTCTACGTAGTCTTTACTTCTCTGTAGCCACCAGCTGGTATATTTCCTTTTTAATCGGAATACACCGGAACCCCTTACTGGTTTTCCAAACGTGTACCTTCAACGAGTATAGGATAATTAACATATATCTGTATGAAATGTGTATATGTCCATTATCAGGGTGTAATTGTTATTAGCATATACGTACAATACCAGACGTAATAGGTATAATTAAGATATGGCCATTGTTTGTTAAATTGTGAAAAAAAGTCCACATAATAACACAATGCCAACGAATAAGTACATAACATCAAAATAAAATATAAACGATGAAACAACTTACAGAACCTGACTTATATATAAATATGATATATTATAAAATGTTCAATTTAGATCTATAAGCAATGTTTTGATAAATTTTCCATCCATGAATTTATATAGGTACATTAATAGAAATATACATTAATACGTTTATAATAGTGTAACGTTTATATTACACAGCAGCGTCTGAACAAGGCACACAATTAATAACACGTTGTACAACGTGCATATTGTAGAGTATTGAACATAGATGGCGTTGGTTGTTTTTTATAAAAAAAAAAATGTATTCAAGTTCATAACAAGAAAGAGGAAATGAAATTGACACTAAAAATGACTTTCATTTGATTAAAAACGAATACAGAACTATGAGGAAATTGCGAATTATGCATAGTGTCTTTCAATATAATGAAGATATTTTCTAGTTTTCCTCTACTAGAACACTGAGTGTACATACATTGCAGATATTTTCACGGTGAAAGATTCGTCTTTTGTCACACCAAATGGAGGGAGAATAACCTTGACCTCAAACTTTGGTAACACTGTAAAAAATAAATGTATTGTATTACCGCACTATATAACAGCAGTAACAAAATAGATATTACCAATATCTCCTACTATCACATAAACAGGTAGGTATACTTACCAAATAGTTCTCACTAACATATAAACAAATAGGTATACTTACCACATATATCTTACTATCATATATACAGGTAGGTATACTTACCACATATATCTTATTATCATATATACAGGAAGGTTTACCAACCAAATGTTTCTTACTATCATATATACAGGAAAGTTTACCAATCAAATATCTCTTACTATCATATATACAGGAAGGTTTTCCAATTAAATATATCTTACTATCATATATATAGGAAGGTTTATCAACCAAATATATCTTACTATCATATATACAGGAAGGTTTACCAACCAAATATATCTTACTATCATATTTACAGGAAGGTTTACCAACCAAATATATCTTACTATCATATATTCAGAAAGGTTTACCAACCAAATGTCCCTTTCTTTCATACAGAAAGACGTATGTCTTACAATACCTCTGACACTTATTATCACTATCAGTGTTATAAACGGATTATCTTTTAAATCAGAAAATAAATATTTGATAATATCTAGCAAACTGTACACAGAATACCTACCATATTCAGCAACTGTAAATGTCTTTTCCCTGCTTCCAACCTTAAATTATATCAATTGTTTTTAACTTAATACTTGATCAAATAGATGTGACTTTTACTCTTGCTTTGTCTTTTTGCCTTTTTGTCCATCAAGAAAGCGATTAAACAAAAGATGATCTTTTTAATGTGAGAGAAATATCACAGCTTACCGTAATAATGACTTATATGGCAATAACTATATACATAAGGTTAAGCAGCACTTATTTTAAAAATTGTTAATCAATGCAAAAAGGTAAACAAATTAACCATTTTGCTGTATAATGTCGCCATTTTAACCATTTAGAACACAAAAAAGTTCCAATATGTACAACTTTGGGCTGCAACGCAATCATACATATAGTTTATCTATTTTTATACCAGAGCTTCATGTACACCACAGAATATAATACAGTCACAAAAAAAAAAAAAAACAGTTGTTAGTTAAATAGTTGTGTTCAACCAGTATTCTGTATGCATGTAAATCAGTGCTTAAATTCAATGTCTCTATCCTGGAGTTACCAAAATCGCTTCTGGTAAAACAAATAAATATTGTCGGAGTATGGGGCAATAATATCGTAAATGAATGGTTTATTTTAGAAGTTTATGAATCGTTGAAGCAAAATGTAATCAATAAAAAGCCACCATAACTTACATTCCTATTCCTAACTTTGATAAGCTAAATTTGCATTCAAAAAGCGCGAACTTTTCAATATACTGATTTAACCAATTACACTGATCACTTGAATTACCTCCAGATCTAGTAAATAGGAAGTCGATAATGATGTATGTAATTAAATTTTATCATAATCTTTTTATTTCCATAAGTGAACTTACTTACATCATAGGGATCGGTACAGTAGCATACCCTCTACGTAAGAGGATTTTCATTCGACATACCTACTCATACACAATAGTTGTGGAATCGTGCATTGTCTTGTATTAGTATAAGTAAGTGGTAAGTTAATATTGGTACCTGGGTGACCTTGAAGAATGATTGACAGTAAGATAACACTGACCCCTTGATTGACCTTGATCATCCAGTCTCCAAGCACAGGATGGTCTGACATCACCATGGACTCTGTGATGACGCCACTAGGGTCGCGTAAGCCCTTCCACTGCTGAATCTTGTTTTTCTTAGGGTCCTGTAACACCGAACATCATTTACTATAAATCATATGATAATAAAGTAATGTTGCTGGACACAGATGAACTTATAGTCAATCTGTTATCTAACACAAAATATGTGTGAGAAGGATTGCAAGAACCGTTTATGTATTCTCAACGAAAGAACACAGCAATGCGGTCAGTGTTACTCTGTACTTAGTAGATTGATATTTTTTCCGGCGATAATTTGTTCCCTAATCCATTTAGCATAGATCAATTAAACTTGTAAAGTTTACACATTTTTGTCACGAATATAAGGGTTTGCATAATTTTAATGAGCTAATTTTCGAAGGTGCAACAGAGATGAACGAAAGAAATGAAGATTTTGCGTACACAAATAATACTTACGAAAATTGAAACATCTATGGGTTTGTCTAATAGTGTAAGATCGGGTAGCATCCCGAAAATTCGAAATCGCACTGGAAAAAAAGATGAAAGCAACAAAATCAAAACCATGCCTGATTTTCAGATGCAAAAAGTATAATTAATACATAGTTATATCAAAACGTGTATGTTAAACATCCAACGTTATGCCATATCGATGAAGAAGAATGAAACGGTTTTTTATTGAGAAATATGATTAACCATGGTCTTTACTCTTTATGTGAAGACATGGAAGAAAAAACCCAATACGGAGGGGGACCCACATAATCGCTATCTTATGACATGCAACGGGGTACAGCAGACCTTTGCTATCTTCGCACACAGGTACATTAATTGGACCTAGTATTGTGAGTTGTGTTTACGGGAACAGTAACTGTAGATTTTCCTTTCGATTATTACATTGATATAATCTTGTTTTGAGTATAACATTAATAAAAGTGGGTTTTTTTGTGTGATAGTAATAGAGTATCATTTTGAGTGTGATATAGGTAGAATGGCGTTTTAAATATTATATTCATAGAATCCGGTTTTGAGTGTTATTTAGGTAGAATGGCGTTTTTAATATTATATTCATAGAATCTGGTATTTCCTTTCATTTCAGTAAATTTTATTAAAAAATCAAAAGGATTGGACAACAGGCTATGCCTATATAAGTCCTCTCCTAGCTAGACTTACAAACAAATATAAACTATATATAGAAAGGAAGAGAGAGAAATGGTACATGAAGTAGTAACAGAAATAGTGATTCGAGGGGAGTAACTCCCACAGAAGTTATAAATAAATAAATAAATAAGCCTCATTTATTGAGACCAAGGATCCCCCAGTGTTAGACAGCAAGAGATCTATAAGCTGCTACGGATTCTGACCAAAGAATCTGGTATTGAGTGTTATAAAGGTAGAATGTCGTTTTTAATTCTATATTCATAGAATCTGGTTTAAGCGTTATAAGGATAATCTGTGATATAAGGGGCAGTGATTATAACATGACCTCTAGTCTTTAATGGAGACTAAGTAAATGTGTCCTGTATGATACCGATTTAGTTAACAAGTATTAGTTATACCTCCTGAAGACACGTATATGTAACAAACTGATCAGTGATTGATTATGCATAGCATGATAGATTTATGACAGCTGCGGGTTTTTTTCTGCCGTAATCAATATCTGACTGATGTGACAGATAACCTGCCTACCTGTACGTGAGGTGGTTTATCATAGCCCTGAGCTAGATATATCACGGGTTCAACACTGCCTGTCATAGTGGTGTAGATTTTGTAGAGATGGGCCACCTCTCTAACGTAATTTCCATAGCTAATTGATATGCCTGACATACACATACCATGCTAAGACAGCACGTGTTCTAATTATACTTTACCGGAAACAATGGTGACTCTGCGTATTCCATTGTATCTTTGGTATAAGTCTGCCAGACCATGTTAAGATTATGTATAAACATTTTTTTAAAGTATTTTGATTTAGTATGTACAATGTAACATATACACCGGCGGGGTGTAAGAGAGGATTCTGTGGTGTATTATCACTACCTGGAATTGTATTATTTTATAACTCGTTAAGTTTCCTATTTTGCTTCAATTATGACAAGTAATTAAAACATATTTCGGTTCATTGCGACATGACAAAATTGGAACAAACTCGAAAAGGCTTTAAGCAAAGGTTACATGGTAATCACCACATTTGAATAAAAACAAATTGTTCAGGAGTAAGTTAACATTCGACATTCTCAATCAAAAGGATTTGGCAAAATACTAACAAATTTAAAAACAAAAACCATAACTACTTACCTGTCTGTCCAGGTTTGTACATTGCTCTGTCGGTTTGAACAAGAATGGACGAACTCTTTTTATCAAATTTAAGTTCCGTCCAATTCGCGAATGTGAGTCCGCCAGTTCCCTCAACTTTCATGGCATAACTTCCTGCCATCAGATGACTAGGCACACGGATGTCTATCAGGGTAGACACGCCTTAGATAACAAAAGCAATATATATAGCAATACGTTAACATCACCAATCCCGTGACCTATCCCAAAAAACCAGAAACAGTACATTTAGCGTTACAACAGTGAAGGACAAAAATAAAGAATGAAATCAACCAACAATGATAAACATTGCCAAAATTCAACACATCAAAGCACAAGGAACGACACATAGCTAAACATTAACACACAATGATAAACATAGCCAAACATCAAAACACAAGGACGGACACATAGCTAAAACCAACAAACAAGGAAAGCCACATAACCAACAATCAATACACAAGGATGGACACAAAGCTAAATATCAACACACAAGGATATACACCAAGCTAAAAATCAACACACAAGGATAGACACAAAGCTAGCTGAAATTCAACCCACACAAGGATGGACACAAAGCTAAAAAATCAACACCCAAGGATAGACACAAAGCTAGCTGAAATTCAACGCACACAAGGATGGACACAAAGCTAAAAAATCAACACATAAGGATAGACACAAAGCTAGCTGAAATTCAACACAAACAAGGATGGACACAAAGCTAAAAAATCAACACATAAGGATAGACACAAAGCTAGCTGAAATTCAACACACTCAAGGATGGACACAAAGCTAAAAAATCAACACATAAGGATAGACACAAAGCTAGCTGAAATTCAACACGCACAAGGATGGACACAAAGCTAAAAAATCAACACACAAGGATAGACACAAAGCAAACTGAAATTCAACACACACAAGGATGGACACAAAGATAAAAAATCAACACACAAGGATAGACACAAAGCGAGCTGAAATTCAACACACACAAGGATGGACACAAAGCAAAAAAATAAACACACAAGGATAGACACATAGCTAGTTGAAATTCAACACACACAAGGATGGACACAAAGATAAAAAATCAACACACAAGGATAGACACAAAGCGAGCTGAAATTCAACACACACAAGGATGGACACAAAGCTAAAAAATAAACACACAAGGATAGACACATAGCTAGTTGAAATTCAACACACACAAGGATGGACACAAAGCCAACAATCAACCCCACAATGATGGAGAGATAGCTCAAAATCAACACACAATGATAAACATAGCCCAACATCAAAACACAAGGATTGACACATAGCTAAAATCATCACACAAGGACAGACACATAGCTAAAAATCAACACACAAGGATGGACAATTAGCCAATGATCAACACAAGGATGGACAATTAGCCAATGATCAACACACAAGGATGGACACATAACCAATGATCAACACACAAGGATGGACACATAACCAATGAACAACACACAAGGATGGACACATAACCAATGATCAACACACAAGGATGGACACATAACCAATGATCAACACACAAGGATGGACACATAACCAATGATCAACACACAAGGATGGACACATAACCAATGATCAACACACAAGGATGGACACATAACCAATGATCAACACACAAGGATGGACACATAACCAATGATCAACACACAAGGATGGACACATAACCAATGATCAACACACAAGGATGGACACATAACCAATGATCAACACACAAGGATGGACACATAACCAATGATCAACACACAAGGATGGACACATAACCAATGATCAACACACAAGGATGGACACATAACCAATGATCAACACACAAGGATGGACACATAACCAATGATCAACACACAAGGATGGACACATAACCAATGATCAACACACAAGGATGGACACATAACCAATGATCAACACACAAGGATGGACACATAACCAATGATCAACACACAAGGATGGACACATAACCAATGATCAACACACAAGGATGGACACATAACCAATGATCAACACACAAGGATGGACACATAACCAATGATCAACACACAAGGATGGACACATAACCAATGATCAACACACAAGGATGGACACATAGCCAATGATCAACACACAAGGATGGACACATAGCCAATGATCAACACACAAGGATGGACACATAACCAATGATCAACACACAAGGATGGACAATTAGCCAATGATCAACACACAAAGATGGGCACATAGCCAATGATCAATACACAAGGATGGACACATAACCAATGATCAACACACAAGGATGGACAAATAGCCAATGATCAACACACAGGGATGGCCACATAACCAATGATCAACACGCAAGGATGGCCACATAACCAATGATCAACACACTAGCCAATGATCAACACACAAAGATGGACACATAGCCAATGATCAACACACACGGATGGACACATAACCAATGATCAACACACAAGGATGGACACATAACCAATGATAACCACACAAGGATTGGCACATAGCCAATGATAACCACACAAGGATTGGCACATAGCCAATGATCAACACACAAGGATGGCCACATAACCAATGATCAACACACAAGGATGGACACATAGCCAATGTTCAACACACAAGGATGGACGCATAACCAATGATCAACACAAAGGATGGACACAAAGCTAAAAATCAACACACAAGGATAGACACAAAGCTAGCTGAAATTCAACACACACAAGGATGGACACCTAGCCAATGATCAACACACGAGGATGGACACATAGCCAATAATCAACACACAAGGATGGATACATAGCCAATGATCAACACAAAAGGATGGCCACATAACCAATGACCAACACACAAGGTTGGACACATAACCAATGTTCACCACACAAGGATGGACACATACCCAATGATCAACACACAAGCATGGACACATAGCCAATTATGAACACACAAGGATGGACACAGACCCAATGATCAACACACAAGAATGGACACATAGCCAATGATAACCACACAAGGTTTGGCACTTAGCCAATGATAACCCCACAAGGTTTGGCACATAGCCAATTATCAACACGCAAGGATGGACACATAGCCGATGATCAACACACAAGGATCGACACATAACCAATGATCACCCCACAAGGATGGACACATAGCCACTGATCAACACACAAGGATGGTCACATAACCAATGATCAACCCACAAGGATGGACACAAAGCCAATGATCAACACACAAAGATGGACACATAGCCAATGCTCAACACACAAGGATGGACGCATAACCAATGATCAACACGCAAGGATGGACACATAGCCGATGATCAACACACAAGGATTGACACATAACCAATGATCACCCCACAAGGATGGACACATAATCAATTATCAACACACAAGGCTGGACACATAGCCAATGATAAACACACAAGGATGGACACTTACCCAATGATCAACACACAAGAATGGACACATAGCCAATGAGCAACACACAAGGAGGGACACATAACCAATGATCACCCCACAAGGATGGACACATAGCACACAAGGATGGACACAAAACCAATGATCAACACACAGGGATGGACACATAACCAATCATCAACACACAAGGATGGCACATAACCAATGTTCAACACACAAGGACGGACACATAACCAATGATCAACACACAAGGATGGACACATAACCAATGTTCAACACACAAGGATGGACACAAAGACGTCAATGCAAAAAGAAATGACATACACAAGGAAGGCTCACGGTCCCAAATTCAAGACCAGAAGGACATTTCATACATGGAAATGGTTCTTCAGGAGAGAATGTAGGCTTAGAATGAGCTATTTGTAGATTTATGAGATTTTGACTACAGTTTCCTGAAATGTTGTGTTCACATTGGAGCTAATGGTAACATAGCCATTGGGATGATTAAAATAGTATGGTGCTCACCATAGGGAAGGACAGTTATTAATATGGACTTATGTTTAATTTAAACACATTTGTGTTAAAATATTGATGTTATTTTAGCAATTAGATATAAAACTTTTAAAAAAAACTTTATATTATGATCCCATGATTGTGATAAAATGCTTATACATTAATAAACACAGGAATACAATAAACGCATACAGACTAAACAAGTCGCTAATGCAGAAAGCATAGTTCCACAATTTACCGTTTTTGTCTGGATCGTTTGGTGGCAGGATTGTTTTTGAGCTCTGTGCTACCGTCGAGTTGTTGTCGTCACTCCTCTGAAGCGTGACGGTGACGTCGACTGGACCTTCTGCCTTGAGTATGTGAACATAGACCCTGGTATCAAGGTTGGGGCGGATAGTTTCTGGCATCGTGACGATGTAGGAACTGTTGGGCGGGAAAACATGGTTACAACAGAGGACAAATCAGTTTCCATCTTATAAGGTTTTGTTATGAAAAAAAAGACTTGATGGAAGTAATATTTGTTATAGAGTGAGCACATCAATGAGAGTCAAATAATTTAAACGTTCAATAACGTAACATTACTGTACTATGGTTTGTTGTAAAAGGGGTGTATGTCGGATACAATAAAGAAGGTGTCTACATGTTTACAACTAAAGATGCATTTGTATATGTAAAACTATTCAAAGATACCTTCAATATAATTTTATTTTAAAAGTACGAGTCGTGCTTGAATAGAAACATCGTGCAATGTTAGGATAATTAGAAATGTTTCACGACAAAAAGAGGACACACTCCATAACATGTGTATAGTTATATTATGGTGACTGGGGAGTAGATGTACTACTAGTTTGTGTCGTCACCGAGAGTAACCGGCTACTTTGCTTCCGTATCTAATAACATGTTTAATAGGTTCAATCACCTGTGTACGTCCTCTGTTCATCTTCTAGCATTGTTATATTGGTATAGCAGTACAGGCAAATATGGATATGAAGATATTCACTGGATATTTATTTCTTCAAAGAAATCAGAAGGAAAGAAGCAATACCGAAGGTGCATATAGTGTGAACGTTTCAAAGAAATCCGATGATATTTGTATAATTTTTAAATGCTTGTAAAATTGACGAGTCCAAGGACCTAAATTCTCGTACAGAGATATGTTTCATTATGATCAATAGAAGTAAGTAGGAATAGCAAAACGTAGTATTTTTTTTCTTCAGAAAGGTTTGAAAATAAACCCGCTAACTTACTGTTACCAGATGGAGATGGGCGTTTCTAGATATTAACATTTCTTAGGCAAGATGATAATTATACGAATAGTTAATGCACTCAGTGATGCAAATGAAACGTAACATATTAACACACAGATAAGACCAATTATCAGAGAAAAAGTACATTATAGGTAGATCTTAATTAGGTCTAAAAATGTGATTAATAAATTACAACTTTAAGATAAATGGGGACAGAATTTAAATGAGTTTACCTTTAGAAGACGAATAAACGACATAGAATTGATATCAATCGTCCTTCTCCAAAAGTACTGTTACCTTATAACAAATGAACTTACAGAAGTCATAACATATATTTTGTTAGCGCCACTCTGATATGTAAACGAGGAAAACGTGCGGACATGAATGGCTGATTGCGAAAAGAAGGTGTGGACATAAATGACTAAGTACGAGAAGAACGTGCGGACATAAATGGCTGAGTACGAGAAGAACGTGTGGACATAAATGGCTGAGTACGAGAAGAACGTGCGGACATAAATGACTGAGGACGAGAAGAACGTGCTGACATAAATAGCTGAGGACAAGAAGAACGTGCGGATCTAAATGGCTGAGGACGAGAAGAACGTGTGGACATAAATGGCTGATTACGAAAGGAACGTGCGGACATAAATGGCTGATTACGAGAAGAATTTGCGGACGTGCGTGTCATTGCACCTGAACGATCTGGTGATTGATACAGTATGTTATAAATGAATTACACTGCTCTATACAACTATTTCGTCACTCTAGGACTCATCGGTGAAGCTGAAGGCCAAACAGGTATAAATCCCACTGGTTTAAACTACTGTTGAAATTAGAATCAAATACATTAAGATGCTGTTGATTTCTGTCACACATTAAAATATAAAAGACTTCACATGATGAAGCTGACTCTGCCATTCGCTACATTGGTTTAGAAAACCATGATTAAACTTGTTGAAAATGAAGGAATAAATTTATAATCATAACACATATATATAAAAAAGAAACTTATGCGGATTAAAGGGAAGAATGTCTGCTGTAAGAGTACCGTTTGTGAGGGAGGGGCAGTGTTCCTTAAACTGCGCCTTCCATATACATGTTTAGGGATTAGCTTAAGCCTACATATAAAATAACAATAATTATTCAACCTGTACATCTAAAGTTAACACCACAATTGACACTTGTCGGGGTTCATTTAGTTAGGGAATGGCTCGAATACAAGTATAAAAACGATTACACTGTTGTTTACGGTTCTTTATCAAGCATAGATACGGTTATCAAGTATAAATACGGTAAAACCGAGTCTGTTTTCGGCAGGATATAAAACGTATTATGCAGAGAATTCACGTTAACTTTGCTTGGCAGACTTGACATATCTCTTCTTGCCGACGTGATAATGGCTGAAATATGTCCTCATTTGTAGCTCTCTGCTGTCACAACAAGACTGATGACCATGCCAGCTTAAAACACTCTTATTCTCCATCTAAGGGACGGGCAAAGCTATGTCTATGCAGTGGTGTGTATACTATGGACACGATGTGTTCGTGTGTTTTTATTATATCATATAAAACGAACTATTTTTTTTGTTAAAAATAAATGCACAAAAATAAGTATCTTATGGTATTATTGTTGTTTTTTTGCGTAATTCCACTTATGTAAATCACCTGTTTAGCATACCGTGTCACCGGAACCATAAAAAGATGACACCATGTAGGTTTTGTGACTTACAAAGCTCAGTTATATCAAATTAAAAGGTTCGTCTAGTGGGAAGTTTGAGTGTTTTTGTCTCGTTACTTTGTTAAGATGTGACTCCCTTGGTCATTACGTCCCATTCATCTCCGGTTTTACAAGGTCTGTGAACACAGGCAACCTTTTATAAAATGACACATCTTTATACAGGTTATACCTGGGCTTTGATACTATGTAGTCTTTCATGAAAACGACATTTCTTTACAAAGTTTAAACTAGCTTGGTAGTCTTTCTTTTTAGAATTTTGTCTTACAACAAAGTCGCTGCGCCTCATTCATTAAATCCTTAGCGGTTCTTGATTAATAAACGAGCTTTAAACATGTCTAGGTAGTGAACCATCACGGCTTACGTCATTTACATACCGCATTCTGTTTAAAGTGTATATCACCTTATGAATTTAAAATAAAATCGTCTTTTCTTTTTTCAATCCGTATTCGTATAATATAAGCCTACTTACTATAAGAATCTGTTAAGTATTGGTATGTACGTAGTTCTGGGCCAGCGAGTGTGGACGTGGGCAAATGGGGAGATTAATGGATGTTAAACTGTTGTTTACTTATTAAGTTAAAGCAGTTTGAGTGATAAAGAGGTTTTGTTTTAACCTTATCTCTACATCTCTCTATGTGTATTGTAAATAACATTAATACTTATGTAAGACATGACCACAATGTCGGGTTATCGACATAACACTGTCAAGACAATGAAAATAAAAGTGACATAACAATAAAACATCACTGTGTAAATACAATACAAATATATGATTATATAAGTAGTTCATTATAGATTAGCATACTAGACAGCTTAATGGTTAGATTATAATTTAGTATTTACTTACTTCAAAGCAGAACACAGTGTGAGGGTGGCCACGCCAACCAGTAGACCGAACATGGATGTACCCATGTCGGGTGGAATTCTACAACAGAAGGAACATAAAATAAGTATGTTGATGGGTATGTATGTATCCACGAAATAGTTGACCTCCTGTATCCCACTGCATGATCGAATGTGGCGACAGATATAACGCGTCATTCACAATTATTTCTGTTTTGTTTTCTATGTACTTTGATACTTGACACAGAAGACTTTAATATAAATCTGACTAAGCATTGTAACACATCAATATCTCCCTTGCAATTTAGGGTTGTTTTCTGTATTGTCTACGCTCCGTGTCTAAGATATATTTCAATTCGTTTGCTCTATGAAATGGTCCTTTTGTTTCCTCATTGTTTGTGAACAACGCCGCCATGTGACCTTTAGATGTCCGCATAATCAATGGACACCACCGCCATGTGACCTTTAGATGTCCGCATAATCAATGGACACCACCACCATGTGACTTTGAGACGGACCCATTATCAATGGACACCACCACCATATGACTTTGAGATGGCCCCATTATCAGTGGAAACCGCCGCCATATGACTTTGAGATATTCTCATTATCAATTGACACCGCCGCCATAAACAAAAATTAACAAAACATATTTGAATTAATTGTATTTATATCACAGACAGTGGCTAAGTGGCTGTATATTTACTGTATCACAAGAATAGAAAGTTCGGATAACAATGCTGCACAACCTCTCATAACGTCTTGATCACAGAGCGTGTACATAGAATAACATGCAATAAAAATTGCCGTTGTATATTTTTCACCTTTCACTTATTCTACTTGTATTTAATTTATGTATGTACCTTACGGAAGAGAATCTGATCTTTATTATTTCCTTAAGTTCAGCTTGGGCGGATTTAATAAACCATTAATGTATTCCTATTCAATATATACTGTCAAAGCCCATACCACAGTCGTATATAGCACCATTTGCAGATGTCAGGAGATATTGGTTTTATACACCGCGTAGTAACGAACATACTAGGTATTCGTGGTTGTACCGTTGTGTATTGCATCACTGCGTAGAGACAACTAACAGTGTCATTACTATACGAACAGCTGGTGGTAGTTGTACTAATAAATAGGTATTACTGAGCTGATTTGTCTATCTTACAAACGTAATCAGATACAAAAACATGACTTTTATCGTATTTATAAACATCTTCCAATTTCTGAAAGGTATGGTAAATGTTACGACAGGCTTCCTTGGACTTTCTTTATCGCACAACATTGACATTCCAACAGTTTGCTCACCTTAAGCACTTGTTTTATCAAAACAGACATGTTCATTTCACTCATTAAATTAAAAAAAAAATATTCAATAACGGTCTGTTTATATTTTAAGATAATTAGAATAACACTAATAAAACAAATCAACGTTAAAATAAGACACAGCTAGACGAGAAACAACCCCAGGTTCAAATAAGGCTACAAGTAGCAGAAAAACAACTAAACGTTGAAATAAGGCACAACTAGACGAAAAACAACTCAACGTTCAAATAAGGCAAACACGTTTAAATAAGGCTAAAAGTAACTGAAAAACAACTTAACATTCAAATAAGGCACAGGTAACCAAGAAACAAATCAATGTTCAAGTAGGGCACAAGAAGCTGAGAAACAGCAACGCAATTATCTGTTCTCAGGCAAAAGTATTAGAGAAGGAAGGTACATAGGTAGCGTGTCAAGAGTAAAAACAAACTCTCTGATATAACACAAGTAGCTGTGAAGCAGGGTGCTAGAGTACAGGTCCGAAGTACATCTCAATAAACTGGGTATCCCTATAGCATATACCATAATCTATTTAGTATTGATTCTGAACCCCATATACTGTCTTGTTAGATCATATCTACACTCAAATACAGGAATCACGGGGTTGACCATATCTCGACATGGAATTATGACATACGAATACAACCGTCGATTACATATTTAATGCATTTTTTTAGCACTGATGTTCTTTCTTTTCGTATTTGTGAATTCTTTTTAGAAGGTATTCATTGAAGGTTAAGAATTAGATATGGCCGAAAATATTCGAGGACATATCTTTCATAAATATACAGTATCAAGATTATTTATACAGTGGTGGTTTACTTGACGAAGCATTTTTATTTTTGGAAATACTTTGAGATTATCAAAATGTAATGTCCTGATGTTAATGGTTCAATTGACCCCTTTCTGACAACTATCAAACGTCAAATGTCAAAACTGGTTCACTTTGATCTAAATAGCAATCCACATAACACATGTTTAGTCAGTTACTTATTCTTTGCGTATCGTCACCTTTCAGGAACTCACATAGTTATGAAAAAAAATGGTTTTCTCTTATACACAGATAATGTGAGTTCCGTATGGAAAATATATTTCATATGAATGTTATATAAAGACAGCTTCATTTTACTGAGACTCCTCACAAAATCGGTTATAATGGAAATGACATGTAGAGATGAATATTAGCGTGTCAAGTCAAAGTAGCTGTAAGTAAACAAATGAGTACAACACTGTATGTATAGTACCAAATTGTTAACTCATACACCCGTGAAATTTCATAATAAACTATTCCAACCTCTATATTGGAAAAGTTCAAATGTGCCTTAATGGATGAATGAGCTAATGATAACGTAAAAAAAATGATCCCAAATCAATATGAAAGTTACACAAAGGATCTTAGGATAAAAAAAAAAAGAGAATAAAGAAACAGTATGAGCTTTTTCATCTGTATTTCAAAGATCAGTCATATTGGTATATTTTATCATGATCAATTAGGCAAAGGAAAGTTTAAGCTTATGTCTCAGATCATTTTACCTAGTTACTTGTTTTCCTTCAATATGTTAGTAAATTAATCAGTAAACTTTAACTCTAGATTCTCTACTTTACACAGGTAAACTAAGACGTTTAGTGTGTTTTCCTTACATACAAAATTACCGTACATGTTATACAGTTTGACAACATATGTGGCACCTTACCAGTATATGCTGTCAACTTCTCACGGCGTCAATTAATTACCATGCGTGGTGTCCGAAAGCAAACAGAATATGTCTGACAACCATATAAGGTAAGTTAGTAAGTCATAATGCAGTAAGTTACAACATTTGATGTATGTTAATTATATCAACATTTTAGAGCCTTACCGATCATAAATATGACGTTCCTTTAACAAACCAGAAATAGCATACCTATACAACACTTACATTGACATGAATTGTCATAATCGTGAAAGTTGACAAAAATACGTCAAAATCGATAGCTACATCAAGTGAAAAGAATAAGATTACAGGAAAGATATCAGGAACCCATATAAAAGGGTGTGAACATTTCAGATTATCTTACCTTTGAAAAGTCAATGCATTATCATTTTCACCTGGCTGGCTTTTGCAATTACAAGCACAAAATGAATAGTTTTATCTAAAGCACATTTAGATCACATGTCACTTTGTGTCAGTTATACAGTTCACTGTTATTATACATGCAAACAAATAATGAGAAGGTATACTCTTTTTATGAAATTAAAATTAACCTATACATAAAGAACATGTAAGAAGGTAGGCATTAAGGTACTTGATGATATGGTAGGTCCCCTTTGTTCGACTATTGTACATAATAAACTTGTTCAGAAGGTAAGCCATCTTTGTTAGATTATCGTACATTAAGATACTTGATGATAAGGTAGGCCCCCTTTGTTCGACTATTGTTCATAATAAACTTGTTCAGAAGGTAAACAATCTTTGTTAGATTATTGTACATTAAGATACTTAGTGATAAGGTAGGCCCCCTTTGTTCGACTATTGTACATAATAAATTTGTACAGAAGGTAAGCCCTCTTTGATTAGAGTATTTTACTTTATAAACTTGTTGAGAATGTAGGCCATTGTTGTACATACTACACCTAGTGATACGGTAGACGCTTTATATTTAATTATCATATATCATGTGTGAGAGGGTAGGCTCAGCATACTGTAATCAAGTGTTAGTGAGTCGGCAGAATTGGGATAATATAATGCCTTGTAGGCTTGGTATCAGATGGAAGGTCGGCTGGAATGATGTATAGTGAACTTTGTCTTAATGAGACAGTAGACTGATTGATACATTGGTAACTTGGTATAAGTGAGAAAGTAGGCTGAAATGAATTATTGTAAATGTTCGACGGTAGGCTGATTAATACATTGTGGACTTGGTATATATGAGAAAGTAGGCTGAAATGATATATCGTAAATGTTTGACAGTAGGGTGATTAATACATTGTTAACTTGGTATAAGTAAGGAAGTAGGCTGAAATGATATATTATAAATGTTTGAAAGTAGGCTGATTAATACATTGTTAACTTGGTATACGTGAGAAAGTAGGCTGAAATGATATATTGTAAATGTTTGACAGTAGGCTGATTAATACATTGTTAACTTGGTATAAGTAAGAAAGTAGGCTGAAATGATATATTATAAATGTTTGACAGTAGGCTGATTAATACATTGTTAACTTGGTATAAGTGAGAAAGTAGGCTGAAATGATATATTGTAAATGTTTGACGATAGGCTGATATAACATATTGTAGATTATGTGTTAATGAGATGCTAGGCTGATATTATACATCATGAACCTTGGATTAGTAAGACACAATTTATTAAGTGACAAATCCATGTCAATGTCGGTGATGATTTCTTTTAGTATTTCATAACCAACAACATACCTGCGGACCTATCAGACGATCTTATGTAACTCTGATGACTTACCTGTCACAAGTCTAATACCTGATATTCATTATACATCCGTCACATCACCACGTGTATGATGAATAGAAATAAACAGATCCTTCATTTATTACATCTGAACGTATTTCCCTGCAGTCAAGACTTCCATGAGTTCATATTTGTATTGTACCAAATCATATCTAGATACAAATCGCTATTACCACAAGCAAGACATATTTTCTATTTCCATAATTTTTTATTAAACGGAAGGGGTTATTTCAGATTAATCGAAAAATATTCTAGTAATATCTTAATATGAAACGATGAATATGTATTTTCGCTCTAGTCGGAGCTGTGTATGGCATACCCTATAAAACTGCTAATTAGCAGCAACTCAAATCTCCTCGTTTGACTACATTTATTTTTCTATAAAATTGTATTGTCTAAGGTTGCTTTTCACACTTGTGGAGCTGCAAAAGAATGCTTTCGGAAATGTTTCATTCTACATAATATCACTCGTCCTCAAAAGTTTGTATCAAAAATATTTTGAAAGAGAGTATCCAGGAATGTTATTCAATATCCCTCTACATTGCACCAAAATCAAACCAGTCGGAGACGTGCAGATTATCTCCCCTTTCTGCATTTATGTATAGCGTCTACTGAATACCCAAAACCAAAATCCAGTATTGAATAACTAATATTGTTCTTCTATCATTTGGAAAGGTTTCCAGAATGTTAAATGTTAATGATTAATTATGGTCATAGTTAATCTGTCAATACCTTTAAGATGCATTGTATCTAACTTAGGTTTGAACGCTGCCTTTCCTATTTTTATATTTATCTCTCTATTTCCAGGCAAAAATTGGGTAAGGGTTATTGGAATGTAACCTAAACAGTAAGGAAATATTTGCAGATGATTAATGTGTGCATAATAAATACTAAATGACAACATAAAATCTTGTAGTGTATTTGTAATGCAGTTGTTGCTCACATTTGCTATGCTAGCAATTACATATTTAAATGTATCAAATTTCAAGAGGTGCAGTGACCCTATAATGTATTTATCAGGGAAGACAACTGATATATTTATTGCCAGATTAGGTTTTGAATATGACCCTGTGCTGTTATTCCCAGCATTTTGTCAAAGTTATGAGGACAATAAAAGCACGAAGAATAGCTTACCTTGTACACAAGATCATATTAGTTCAAAGACATAGTAAAGTCCATCACACTGTGTGCCAGACCAGTTATGACCTGAGACCAATGATCTATCCCCAATCCCGTGTCCAAGAAACCCCTGACATTCCAGCACGTATGCCGATGGTTGTTCAGCAAATCGTTCTTTGAATTTCATTACTGTATACTGTAAAGCTGCATTGACATGTTTTTGCCGACATCATTGTTATCTATCAGAGCTTCGATCACAACTGTTATTTCATATATATGTCAACATGTATATGAAATAATAATTGTAGTAATACGTTTTATCTGTTGTCTTCGTCAGTTAACTGACAATACCTATAATGTATCTTATTACATAGCATATCACACGGAGACTACTGACCCTATCCTTGACAATGTACAATGAACATTAAACGTGTAATTATTTAAAAAACAATGTTTTCGTTCATGAATTTGAAATAAAATTATATGATTATATGTTAGGCAGTTATGGACATCTACAACTGGGGCGTCAAACTGTTACCGGACTGTATAAGCTTAAGGCATATTCTTACGAGAGTCTCTACTATAAATCATATATATATATATATCTAGCCAGTAGTATATCTCGCCATGAATATTAGTTTCTAAAAGCTATCTAACGAAGACTATTTTAATAGCTGTTGATGACTATTAATCATGGCGGTTATAATTTTAATATAATGTGGTGACTGTTCAGCGTGTGACATGTATTCGTCTCGTGTTAACATACTGCAATAAAAGATGATATGATCAAGGCGAATGTGTTCTCCGGTCCTTTGACGAATGACATTTATATGGGAAAGTGATTAAATACGTGTATATTTCGTTAAGTACAATAAATAATTAAAAATAATCATTATTCAAGAGATATAGTGCTTCATCTCAGTTTTTGTTATTAGTTTTTGCATGTTTATTATTACAATATGTTGCAAGCTTTTGTAAACGTTTGTTGTAGAATTATTTTATTAGATTAGTACGTGTCACCTGCTTTAGATAACATACTTGCTTCATTTAACACAATCTCGATTACCTACTGAGATATTAGTGATATTTTATGTAGCCAATGATTGTAAGCTGATGTTTAGGACAACTTACCTCACACAGAGTCCTCCTTTATGACTTTAATAAGTAATTATTAGTAATTGTCGTCTAAATGTACCACAACGAGTTAGCAACTGTCACTTCTTCACACAATTAGGTTATGCATCCATCTCAATCCATATTTATTTTTAAAAATACGCAGAGCGTAGGTGTAATCTGAATGATTACTTAAAACAATACGTGCTGAATAACCCCCTATTTAGAATAGTTTACGATATCTTAGAACTCCTAAGTAAAAGGAACGTATCACAACTAATTTGTATTCAAAAATGGAAAACCAGTCACGATAATATGCAAAACATTGGTCTGGTGTTTCCTGGTTACAGTTGACTGTACATGGGTCCACTATTAGAAAAGTATCTCTGCAGTACATGAAATGAATAAATATTAAAAATAATGGCTGACATAATTAACATTTCACCTTGACCAAAGTTAAGTACAACTATATTTGGAGTTGCTTATGAACCTATGAACCTGGAGATACAGTGTAAAACCATTTAACGTGAAGACTTATTAAAAAAATATATCAATAAGACGCCATGCTTATTAAGTAGAATGTATGCTTCGTGTTCGACGTGAGTATAGTAATCGGGGTCACACAAGATCCATATCTTCACATATAGCTATATAAATCAGCTTTAAACAAACAAACCTTTTCTTCTTTCTTTTCGAAGTTTCTCAAAAGTCTTGAAAACGCGTCTCCGCTTTGTTGATATGGAGATAATATCCTAAATGAAATATGATGCCAATTCACAAAAGCATTTTCTCCTGCTGTGGTATCGTAACGTTATCTCCGTTATCTGCCGTTACAAACTGTGTTATCTATATATATGTGTAAGAGACTTCAGTAACACTTTTATACGCATGGCTGCACACCGGATGACTGATTACTATGGTCACGGTCTACGTCACACCAGCACGTTCTACCGGTCCCAAATATGAATCAGAACTTTTGATTGGCTGATATCTTAATATCCGGTCATGCTCATATGTAACTTGGTGTTTACCTGTACCAGGTAAACATCGCTCCAGAGAGACCGCCGTCATAGCTCACAGGGTCAGCCTGTAACACCTGCAGGGGTTCAAAAGCATTCAATACAATAACGGGTTACATGTACCATACGCCCAATTGGACAATGTCACGTATTACTATAATAAGGTGAAACATTGGAATGAAAATTTCCAACATCGCTCCTATTTCTAAGAAATAAATGCACGTAAAATTAACAGCGTTACCAACTAGCTGACGTGACCAGGGGGCATCGTGTACAAACAACAGTGTTAGCGAATGTGTCAAATTGTACAGATATCTTAACAACCGTATTACTGTCTTAGAGTTTCTATAATATGTGATATATAATAACATGTGAGGCATAAACATTTTCTACTAAACGCCACAAAATAATGGGAAATAAAATACGTCGGGGTTTCGTTCACAGAGCACTATTTAATTATGTAAGTTTGCATAAACATACATTTCTATTAATATATTTTGATGGCAAAAACATATAATACCAGAAATGACAGTTGTCAGTTTTATATTTGTCGTTTCAGATTCATTCTGTTCTTTTTTTGCGCGTTTCATACCCAGAAAGACCCATAATCGTTACCAAGCAAGGAAAAACTAAATTAAAATGTCAGCACTTCCTTAGAAACGATAGTCGGAAGAGATGGAGAAGATCTCAAAACAAGACAAAAAATTAAACTTTGTTTTTCAATTCCCAATTGAAAGCTTTTTAACTTGCACTGTCAGCTTTGAACATAAGCATAAATTAGGCCTGAAGTACTGTGTGTTAACGCTTCATTTTATAATAAATGAAAACATACAACACGTTACTAACAACTGAAATGGATCGCTTGTATGATTTCCGAGGTTACCCTTTTATATTACAATCATGTATATCATTATATATACATGTGGGGATGTTTCTCTCCCCACTTCCCACAATAATAACACTATATTTTTACAGATAACGAGTTCGTTTCACCTTGCAGGTTGCGTCATGATTAATTATGTTTACATCTAGATTATTATGGAAATAACCATCTCGTGTAACAAAAAATGAGTATAAATATCTTTGTTGACCCCAAATTAAGAATGGCGGTCTCATGAACCTTGTTTATTACGTCAGTATTGTGGCAATAATATAACATTCCAAGTACGCTGAAATATCAAAACCCCGTTAATGATCTGTTAGCTCGAATTGTAAATAATTATATTTACATTACAATATTGAAAACTGACTACATATCAGCACAAATCATCCAACAGGCTTTAAGTTCATATATAAGCATATTAAATAATGAACTAATTTGACGTCACACACAATTCGTGACTTCTGTAGATAGACTGGATCCTTTCTCTAACATTCTCATTTATTTGAGAGCAAAAAATGTGACAAAAACAAATACGATAATTACGTCTTTAATATGACCGGTATTGCAAGAGATGAATAAGCAATAAAACTAAAAAGGTTGACAAAATTCACGTTTTAGCTTTTACCTAAATCAAAGTTAATTACACTTGCTCTTTTTCTATTTCTTTCAACACAGTGAATCAATATACACCGTGAAGAGAAATAATAACAATAGTTTACCATGATTTATACAAAGCATTTATATTTGAACAAATATAAGCATGTGGTGTAGCATACAAAATTAAAGATATTTTAACACGTAGAACATAAAAGTTATAACTTACAGATGAAGAGCATTTATTTCAAAGGACTAACAGGTCGGATTTGCTTAGATAGCATAAAAACGACCAGTGGAGTAAGTTAATCTTACCAATAGGTAAGTTAATCTTACCGTTATTTGTTTGTGATATAGGAAAGTTCCTGTTTCAGCCAATCAACAAACAAAACGTGTAACTACAAATCGACTTTCAAATTGTTACTTAAATTATATATTTTATAATGACATGCTGTCAGAAGATATTCCGATGCCGCTACGTGTTGAATTGAAAACAATATCATAGCGGCCGTATAAATCAGAAAGATCGGATTATTTACTGCACAAACAAAGAGATAAAGTGTGGTGAAATGGAGTTCGCTTAATCTCACTGGCGTTTTTTTTTTATTGACAGTGATAATTTCATAAAAATGGTAGACAACCAAAACGCTTTCGTGGTTTCTGAGCTTCATGCGCTAGAAATGAGAGAAAAATAGCCTGTAATGCCTAGGGGTGTTGGATAAGGAAATAGGCAAATCTAGGGTTTTACCTAGTTCGAAAATCCTTGGATGGAAAATCCCATCCTTTACCTTTTGACATGAAAGAATCTTATAATAAGAAAACGAATGCAAAGATATACACGATGTTTGATTTATAAGCCTTCTGTTCTTAGAGGTTTTGTTTGGCAGTCCTTTTTTTTGGTTTTCCTTTTATTGTTAACGTGTGGACTTTGAGTGATTAATGTGACGCTGTGGTATGAATTCTATTTAACTCTAAATACCTTTAAAGCACTGAATCAGTTGTTTATACGACTATGATAAACATTAAAACAAATCATGCAGAATTCTAAATTAAGTATACCAACTTTATCCTCAATACGACACCGTTTGCTCCAGGAATGAGAAGCAAAGTAAAATATCGGAAAAAGATCAACACAAGAAGACAATATCTCAGAAATATTAAGACATTGGCGATAAGGTTATATTAAGGTTCTATCACTTTTGCAAGTTATGAACTGAAACATACAATAATATTATGATCACATTTTACGAAGAATAGTAAAAAGCATGATAAAAAAACAAAAGTTAACAACTGTTTTGTCATTATTGACTCGTTGATGATCTAAACATAAAATACAGTTATGATTAGTACTATCTCAGGGCACTGTAGATTTCATAACTTATTGACATAAATTTTAAATATATGCATCATATGACATCCTTATCACACACTTCACGGTAAATACTCCACGGCAGATCATATCTTTATGACAATTAGTAAAAACATTCCGTCCCGGTAAGAGTGTGACATGGTTGTGTATAGCTTCAAGCCATCTCGTCACAGACTGACCACTCACCACTCACCACTGGCCACTAGCACTCATAGGACAGCTATGTATACAGGTCAACAACTTAAAGACTGGCCAGCTTAACGATGTATTAGTGATAGGTATATGTCCTGAAAAGTTTCATCCATGTTCAACACACCACAACATTGAATGAAAGATTAGTGACAAAAAACAAAAGGAAATTCTTTAAAGGATAACAAAATTAAGATATTAAGAATTAAGTTCCAATTACAAGACTCAACAAGCTAACAAACGTGTTAACATCAGATCAATAAGATCAAATGTGGCTTTCATCTTCCCTCCCTTATAACTTTTATTGTCATAAATAATCATCAATAAGTATTGTTTATCAATGTCCCCATGTCATATAGAGGACAGGGAGGGACAGACATACCGATCAACAAATGAAGAATACAAATTAAGAAATGTTCAGTGGGTGTGTTAATGTCAATAATATATAGTAATATAAAAGTGAATACAAACTTATGACTAATTAATTAATCAGGGTATGCTCGAAAATTCATCATCAAAGAATTTTGACATTTAGTCATTTAATCATAATAAAAATGTATTATTACTATGAAACAGTATGCATCAGAAATGATCATCAACATACAAATTGAAAAGAAACTACAGCAGTATGTGTCTCAACTACACTTGTAGACATTCAAAGTACACTACAGCAGTATGTGTCTCAGCTACACTTGTAGACTTTCACATACACTACAGCAGTATGTGTCTCAGCTACACTTGTAGACTTTCAAAGTACACTACAGCAGTATGTGTCTCAGCTACACTTGTAGACTTTCAAAGTACGCTACAGCAGTATGTGTCTCAGCTACACTTGTAGACTTTCAAAGTACGCTACAGCATTATGTGTCTCAGCTACAAGTGTAGGCATTCAAAGTACACTACAGCAGTATGTGTCTCAGCTACAAGTGTAGGCATTAAAAGTACACTACAGCAGTATGTGTCTCAGCTACACTTGTAGACATTCAAAGTACGCTACAGCAGTATGTGTCTCAGCTACACTTGTAGACATTCAAAGTACACTACAGCAGTATGTGTCTCAGCTACAAGTGTAGGCATTAAAAGTACACTACAGCAGTATGTGTCTCAGCTACACTTGTAGACATTCAAAGTACGCTACAGCAGTATGTGTCTCAGCTACAAGTGTAGACATTCAAAGTACACTACAGCAGTATGTGTCTCAGCTACAAGTGTAGGCATTAAAAGTACACTACAGCAGTATGTGTCTCAGCTACACTTGTAGACATTCAAAGTACGCTACAGCAGTATGTGTCTCAGCTACACTTGTAGACATTCAAAGTACACTACAGCAGTATGTGTCTCAGCTACAAGTGTAGGCATTAAAAGTACACTACAGCAGTATGTGTCTCAGCTACACTTGTAGACATTCAAAGTACGCTACAGCAGTATGTGTCTCAGCTACACTTGTAGACATTCAAAGTACACTACAGCAGTATGTGTCTCAGCTACAAGTGTAGGCATTAAAAGTACACTACAGCAGTATGTGTCTCAGCTACACTTGTAGACATTCAAAGTACGCTACAGCAGTATGTGTCTCAGCTACAAGTGTAGACATTCAAAGTACACTACAGCAGTATGTGTCTCAGCTACAAGTGTAGGCATTCAAAGTTATTTGACAAGTTCTTTCGGAAATCAGACAGGACATCTTTATGAAATAAACTACAATATACAATTGCATTTTTGAAGAATAGGACAAGACATGCTTGAAAAAAATAATGAAACAACTTTTACATACTTTGATATTAAATCATTCAATACCGTTATAAAATGCTGTTAACCGGTATGCACATGCTACCCATTATAGGTTAAGCATTGGAGTAATGGACC